GTTGAATTCACACAGTGTGCTGAGCTCCCAATTCACAATACACAGTTGCTGCATTCACATGGACTTCCAGTGCCCCACCAGATAGACCAGTTCTGCTCAACATTGGCTGTTTGAGAATGCGGGGAGTCCACACATCTTAAAAGAGAATATTTTTAGCTCGGGTTTGAAATTTGGGCTTAAATGAGGTGATCCCACATTCACTGCATCACTACCCACAGAGGCAGAATATTCCTTTTATTTATTCATTCATTCATTCATTTATTCAATGTGCATGCTGCCCATCTCCGCTGCCACTCCTCTGGGCGGCTTACAATCTGATAAAACATTGTTATAAAAGGTGAAAGCAGTAAGGCAATGAACAGAACAATTTAAAAATACAACAAGATACAGAGACGTGTTGGACTGCAAGCTATCCAAACCCCCGTTTCATCTAGGCTAATATAGTGCGAAGTAACCAGGCTGAGTTGCAAAAACAAGGCCAGGCAAAATTATACGGGGAAGTGAATTAAACGTGAAGGAGAAACAGTCCTTTGGCTGCGAGCAGCGCACTTTAATTTGGTTAGTGGATTAACCCATTTTCCGTGCTTTCACAGTACATTGAAATGGAAACGAAGCAGCGCTGGCACCGAACCATCTCCCTTGGTGAAAAGGCAGTCACTAGGTCGCTAACTAACCTAGTTAAAGCCTGTTGGGCCAACTCCACCCCTGAGCGCTCAGCCCCTGCGCCTCAGTGAGTGTCCCACTGAGATAATCATGGTTATTTATTATTTGATCTGCGGTGGAGTCCCAAACACCCTCATGCTGGGCCTGTTGGTTTCCATGGAAACTCACATTCAGGGGCTAAGTGGACAACCTTGCCCTCTCCAACGTAGATACCCCAGTGTTGATAGCAAGAACGGAATATCTCTATCAGGTCTCCCGGTTTGATTTCTTCCTGTAAGGGGGAAAAGAAACAGAGGAGTAGAACATAGAACATAGAGCCAAAGGGCTGGATGGGACCTTGGAGGTCTTCTAAACCAACCCCCTGCTCAAGGCAGGAGATCTTATACCATCCCAGTCAAATGGTCATCTAATTTTTGAAAGCCTCCAGTGATGGAGCAACCACAATTTCCAGAGGCACTGGTTAATTGTTCTCACTGTCAGGAAATCTCTCCTTACTTCTGAGTTGGGTTTCTCTTTGATAACCTTCCATCCGTTACTTCTTCTCCTGCCCTCTGGTGCTTTGGAGACCAGGTAGACCCCTTCTTCTCTGTGACAACCCTTCAAGTACTAGAAGACAGCTAACTTGTCCTCCCTTATCCTTCTCTTCCATAGGCTAGACGTACTTTGCTCCCTCAACCATAATGCATCAGACACATCAAAAACGGTGGCCTTTGGACCATCTTCTAACCTTGAGGGTCAAAAAACTAAGTTGAAGGTCAACCTTGAAAGGGTGATGTGTGTTTGCAACATCCTGGTCCATCTCTGGTCCAGGATCTGTTTACGAAGCTTTGTTCCATCCTTAGCTTTGGGGGGTTTTTTTCTATTTATTTTATTTTTTGCAACTATTGTCAGCAGTATCTCCCCTCCCCAAAGTATCCCCTTATTCATTATCCATGTGCATTCCCATTCCAATGGGATTTACTCAGCAGTACGTGCAAAAACACACAATACACTTGTGAACGGAGCTCTTCAACGCCCTGCTGAAAATCTTAGCTTGCATTCATCCCTTAACTCCCCTGGGTGTGGCCCAGAGAGACTTCCATGATTTAATTTTTATTTTATTTATTCCATTTCTATAGCTGCCCCAACTCAATCAAGTGACTCTGGGTGACTCACAATTCCAAAACTACTAAACCGTAAAAAAATCCAGAGAATAAATACATACAGCAGCCAAGATTGGTTACTGTATTGAAATGTTGATGGGGGAAAATATTAAATACGTCTCCCGATGCTCCGTCAGGGGAAACGACAGAGAGGAGAGAGATGATATTGAGGTTCAGGCACATCAAAAGAAGTCATAGGGAAAGGTGGTCAGGAATCTTCCAGGGAATTTGGACTAGAAATAGCGATTAGAAGTTGCAAATGCCTAGGTTTTGTTTCAATATTGATTTCCTGATGGAACACTCTGCATTTATAGAGCTACCGGTAAGTGAATCCCGCAACTCTAGAATCTTCTAAGAAGAGGCTAGGCCAGGGGTAGGCAACCTTGGCTCTTTTATGACTTGTGGACTTCAATTCCCAGAATTCCTGAGCCAGCCTGGCTCAGCTTAGAAACCTCTCCCTTTTCCCTCAGCATGGCTGGCTCAGGAATTCTGGGAGTTGAAGTCCACAAGTCATAAAAGAGCCCAGGTTGCCTACCCCTGGGCTAGACAATCAACCCTCATGGATAATTGACTTAGTTTTCCTTCACAAAATGGAATTGTGGCTCGTGGTTGAATCCAATTCCATAACTCTTCGACTCTATGGGTGGAGAATAATATATTTTTTGAAGCATGGATCATTGCATGACAACGCCAAGCTAACTTTGGTCTCCAAGCTGGAACAGAATCTGTCTTACGAGGTTCAACCATGGATTCTGTAGCACAAACATATCCAGAAGACTAGGTCTGATTTCTCCTAACCCCCAAGTCACCAACTCAGAGGCTGATGGTTCTGAGAAGATGGATGACATCTCCAGTACATTGAGTCTGGGCGAGATAATGAAATAGATGGTCCGAGAAAGGGCATGGCCCATTGGCTGGCGGGGATCCTAAGCACAATCACTCCGCATTACCACATTTTGTTGCGCTTCCCACTGTGTCGTATTGACTTATCCAAGTACCTCTCAACAGGAAGCAAGCCAATCTCTTTCTGCAGATATCACCACGGCAAATCCTGTTATCTGCCTTTAAAATCAAATCAACGGCTCTTAAAAGGAGCATTCACAAATACTTATAACCCTGGGGATGTGGGAGAGACAAGATCCCCTTCAACCCATTTGAAAGGTCTCTTAAATTAGCCAAGGCAGGTGGTTTCAGCACCAGGAAGTGGAAAATAAGAAATGTTTTTTGTTTTGCCATCCAGATCTGAAAAATTCTTCCCAACTTGGTTTGACAGAATAACAGAGCTGGAAGGGACCTTGGGAGGTCTTCTTGTCCAACCCCCTGCTCAAGACAGGAGTTGTTATACTGTTTCAGACAAATGGTTGTTTAGTCTCTTCTTGAAAACCTCCAGTGTTGGAGCATTCGCAACTTCTGGAGGCAGGTTGTTCCACTGGTTAATTGTTCTCACTGTCAGGAAGTTTCTCCTTAGTTCTAGGTTGCTTCTCTCCTTGATTAGTTCCCATCCATTGCTTCTTGTCCTGCCTTCAGGCGCTTTGGAGAACAGCTTGACTCCCTCTTCTTTGGGGCAGCCCCTGAGATACTGGAAGACTGCTATCATGTCCCCCCTCCTCCTTCTCTTCATTAAACTAGACATTCCCAATTCCAGCAACCATTCCTTATATGTTTTATGCTCCAGTCCCCTGATCATCTTTGTAGCTCTTTGTTTCTACTGAAAGATTTTGAACTTTAAAAATAAATCTTACAGATATTCACCACGATTGCAAAAATCCTTCTGTTGCTGTTATTGTCATTATTATTGTTTTCCTTTCATCTGATTTTTGGATTTTTAACAGACACTTCCTTTTTGGCCATTAATGTTTGCGTTGCTCCATAGGTATCTTTCCAAGATGTATTTCTAATGACGTTCTCTGTTGATTATAGGTAATCTTCAGTTTACAACCAGTTGTTTAAGGAGCATTTAAAATTACGACGACACTGAAAAAAGTGACTTGTAACCATGTTTCACACTTACAACCATTGCAGTACCCATTGGTCATGTGATCAAAATTCAGATGCTTGGCAACTGATTCATATTTATGACAGTCACGTGTCCCGGGGTCATGGGAACCCCTTTTGCAACCTTCTGACAAGCAAAATCAGTGGAAAAGCTGGATTCACTTAACAACGGTGTTGCTCGCTTAACAACTGCAGTGATTTGTTTAACAACTGCGGCAAGAAAGGTTGTAAAATGGGGCAAAACTGACCAGTGTCTTGATTAGCAATAGAAATTTGAGGCTAAGTTGAGAACTACCTGCATTTTTTATTCTGGGAACTGCTAGGCTGGCCTGAAAGCTTTCTCTGAGTTGTACAGGAGAATAAAACATGTTTTTATATATATTTAATACTAAATAGCAATGTTCTGGCCCATTTGGGACATTCTCCAGCTTGACTTTAGGCTGCAAATCAAATTCTAAATTTGCTTGCCGGATTACCACCTTCTGGAACTCAACTGGACAGCATATTTCAAGAATCGGGGGGGGGGAACAGTCTCAGCAATCTGGACAATGTTTTTGGTCCTCGACTTGCAACAATTCGTTTAGTGACGGATCAACGTTAACAACGGCACTGAAAAAAGTGACTTTTGAGACTGTTTTTCAGAGTTACGACCTTTGAAGCATCCCTAGGGTCACGTGATCACATTTCAGACCTCTGGAGTCTGACTCATACTTATGACCGTTGCTTTTGTGATCTTTTGTGACCCTTTTGTGATCTTTTGTGACCCTTTTGTGATCTTCTGACCAGCTAAGTCAATGGGGGAAGCCAGATTCACTTCACAACCAGATTACTAACTTATCCATTGCGGTGATTCGCTTAACAACGGTGGCAAGAAAAGTCGTAAAATGGGGCAAAGCTCACTTTGCAAATGTCTCGCTTAGTGACAGAAATCTTGGGCTCAATTGTGGTCGTAAGTCGAGGACTGCCTGTGTGGCATTTTCTGACCACTACGAAACAATCTGTCAAGAACAAACAATCTCACTGGCTCACAACAGTTTTTGACCAGTTGTGGGTTATATTTTTCAGACATAAGCATGTCTCCCCATAGACCGGAGGCACAACGGTTAAATCTTTCCTCCCTGTTATTAAAATGCATCAGCAAATGGATAACAGGAAGCAAAAATTCTCCCCAATGCATGCTAGGCTGACCAGCGCATTAGATTCTTTAATTGGTACATGCATCATAAAAATTGATCCATCGATTAGCTTGTGATATTTCAGCGCTCTTTGTAAATAAAAACAGCAATGTTGGTTTAATTTTAGATCTCTTTCCCAGCCTGGCATGGAAGTCTTCCTTTCTACCCAAAGTGCAGCTATCGCTTGCTTAAGGTCTGCTTGCTCCATTTTAGGGTGCCCTCCGAAATTTATCCAAGGAAAAAGTCCCATTAAGCTCAGAGGTAATTACTTGGGAACGAGCCTCTATATGAGATTGCATAGTTTAGAGCGAAACTCATTGACTTAAATAGCAGGTCTTCATAAGTATGCAAGGGATGGCTCTGTCTTACATTTGTTCCTTGCAGGCAGTCCACAGCTTAAAACCATTCGCTTAGTGACTGAAGCTGCAATGGCACTGGAAAATGGTCCTCACATTTACGACCCTCGCAGAATCCCTGTGGTCATGTGATTAAAATTTGGGCGCTTAGCAACCGGCATGTTTTTATGATGGTTTGCAGTTTCTGAGGGTTATGTGATCATCATTTGTGACTCAACCAGCTAGCTTTTAACAAAGGGAAGGAAGGAGGGAAGGAAGGAAGGAAGGAAGGAAAGAAGGAAGGAAGGAAGGAAGGAAGGAAAAAGAGAGGAGGAAAGGAAAGGAAAGGAAAGGAAAGGGGGAGGAAGGGAGGGAGAGAGGGAAGGAAGGAAGGAAGGAAGGAAGGAAGGAAGGAAGGAAGGAAGGAAGGAAGGAAGGAAGGAAGGAGAAGGGGAGGGGGAGGAGAAAAGTAAAGGAAAAGAAAGGAAAAGAAAGGAAAGGAAAGGAAAGGAGAAAGGGAGAGAAAGAGACAAGATTGTATTCTACCAAACCTGGAGTGCACTGAATGGGGAAAGGCTCCTCTAACCAATACACTCCACTGCCACGCAAGCCCCAAACTTACAAACCAGCATAGCCTGTTCCTTCCTGGCAGAGCCTGACTCCCACCCTCCCAGGGGCTGGCTGGCTGGTCCAGAACCCCCCACTCCAATTTCCTTCACTTCTGTACAACGCAACCTGCCTTTTCCTCCCTCATCTTTCACGGGCCAGGCTACGCACCTGTTCACTCATTTCCGGTCCATAACGTAGCTCCATAACAAAATTTTCACAGTTTTGGCTGCTCCGGCTGTACGGCATCTCCTTTCCGACCAATTCCTCCGTCTGCCACAGGATCTTGGAGAGGGGAAGCGGTGGGTGTGTCTCATCATGTTTATTGTTCACTCGGTACCTGTCCTTCCGGACCACGTCTTCCAGCCAATCCTTCTTGACGCACACTCTCTCGGATAAGATCACCAAGGGGTTGGGAGACCCATCAGCAAAATGTTCGCCTGGAGAGCAAGAAGAAAAGCTGCCCAAATCAGCAGGGACCCCCCCCTCCCCTGGGAACGAGGAAAGGACGTTTGGTTCATGTCCACGCCAAGGCCACCCCAAATTTGCACTGGCCATGCTCCAAAACATAACATTGTTATATTCCAGTGTGTTCTTTGGCATAGATTTCATGACATTCGACAACAATAGAGTATTATTGCTTAACAGAATTACAGAGTTGGAAGGGACCTCGGTGGTCTTCTAGTCCCACCCCCTGCTCAAGCAGGAGACCCCACACCATTTCAAAGAACTGGCTGTCCAGTCTCTACTCAAAATCCTCCAGTGATGGAGCGCCTACAATTTCCGGAGGCAACTCATTCCACTGGTTAATTGTCCTCACTGTTAGGAAGTTTCTCCTTAATTCCAGGTTGCTTCTCTCCTTGATTAGTTTCCATCCGTTGCTTCTTGTCCTGCCTTCGGGTGTTTTGGAGAATAGGTTGAACCCCCCTCTTCTTTGGGGCAGCCCCTCAACTATTGGAACTCTGTCACCACTAATCCATCTTTTCACTAGATTAGACATACCCAATTCCTGCCACCCTTTTGTCCAGAGAAATAAGGAGAAGGGTAAGCCATACAGAACACAAAATAACAGAGTTAGAAGGGACCTTGGGGTCTTCTAGTCCAAGCTGGAGACCCTTACAGAATAACAAGAGGTGGAAGGGACCTTGGAGGTCTTCTAGTCCAGCCCTCTGCTCAAGCAGGAAACCCTATATCATTCCAGACAGGTGGCTGTCCAATCTCTTCTTAAAAAATCTCCAGTGATGGAGCACTCACAACTTCTGGAGGCAAGCCCTTCCACTGGTTAATTGTTCTCACTAACGGGGGAGTAAAAAGCCATCAATACATCCTCTTTCCCCCCCCCCTCCCAGGGATTAGAATACTTACATTCAGTTACCAGATGGACTACTTGCTGTTCCCCTACATAGAGGGCCCAATGTTGGCAAGAAGAACGGAATATCTCAATAATGTCTCCTGGTTTTAATTCCTCCTGGAAGACACAAAGGGTCCCAACTCAGCGGCCATCGCTACCCAGCCTGTCCTCTTCCTACAGGTAGACCAAACCCGGCCTTAAGCGAGATCAATCCAATGGTAATCCTTGACTTACTACCCTAATTGGGACCAGGCCCAAAGGTGCTTTTTCAAAAGGCAACAGACTGGAGTTTGTTTTTCCATGGCAGTTTTCCTTAAGGAAAAACAAAGTCCTGGGCTTTAATGGCCAACTGACATCACACACATGCTCAGGGGAGTGAAATTGCGGTTTACTGTGTTCTCATCTGGCCAAATTCATCTTCTAGCTCGGTGTCTCTTCTTCTTCCAGCTGTTTGATGCCTACCTTCTCTGCATGCCAAACATTACTGCACATATGGGGTGCACCTTTCCCAATAAAGCTCTTTTCCGTGGCAAAGACCGTTTTTAAAGAGACAGGAGCCCTCCCCAAAAAATATAGGCCAAATTCACACCTTTGGATCTTTTCTATGGTGCAGTAGCACCACCTGCTGGTTGTTGGAGTTACTGCAGGAGAAGGGGGGAGGGAAATCCCAAAGAGGGGAGGGAGGGGGGGGGAAAGCTGTGGCTGAAATTTTTCTAGCCAAAAAAATATCCTCTCAATAACCCTGACAGGTAGACTATGCTGGGAGAGAGGGTTTGATCCCATGCCATCACAATCACTCAGTGACAAACTGGAAAGACACATATAAGCATCTCTTAAATCCAAGAGGGTTTGAGGTCTACAGACATAGAATAGAATAGGAGCTGGAAGGGACCTTGGAGGCCAACTAGTCCAGCCCCCCCCCCCCCGCTCAAGCAGGAGAACCTGAGACAAGTGACTGTCCAGTCTCTTCTTAAACCGTTCACTGCAACGGTAAATAAATGTTTAAAAAGCACAAAAGTTAATAGGTCACTAACTAAATCTAGCATTATATGGAGCACTCTTGGCTAACTGGTTAAATACACATTGATGTGGACTTGAGGCAGAGGTCATCCTGACCCTAGCTCAGCTTCCAGAGAGGATTGTCCTTGCGTACAGAAACCACACAGCTAACCGCTCAGTAGTAAATTGAGGGCTGCCTATACTTCAACCAATATTTCTGTTCAAAGGCCAGCCACTAAGCAATGCAGTAACATCTGCTCAGCAGCTGGAAGGAAAGGGGGAATCGATCTGGCCCCTTTTAAAAAAGTTTTTGGCTGTCCCCCCCCCTTCTCCCTGCCTTGTTCCCAGCCCCCATTTACCGGTTCGGCTGGGTTTTTAACCCTGATTAAAAGGGCTGAGTGATTTTGCTCCTCCTCATTCATCTTGGCTAGGATGTCCTCGTGTCTTCTCAGTGCCGACTTCCTATGGGCATATCTAGAAAAGAGAGAGAGAGAGAGAGAGAGAGAGAGAGAGAGAGAGAGAGAGAGAGAGAATCATTCCCGTTTCTTTGGTGAACTCTTCCCTGAAGCCCTTTGGCACTAGTGGGGTGGATCTGTGTTAGCCAAGGTCCCCTTCTTGCTTAATTCCAGTTGCTTTCCTGCAAATTTTGCCCTGCCATCTTGAGTTTTTCTTAGCATTTTTGGACAAAAATCTTTGAGGAGGAGGAGGAGGAGGAGGAGGAGGAGGAGGAGGAGGAGGAGGAGGAGGAGGAGGAGGAGGAGGAGGAGGAGAAAAGGAAGGAGAAGGAGAAGGAGAAAAGGAGGAGGAAGGAGAAAAGGAAGGAGGAGGAGGAGGAAAAGGAGAAGGAGGAGGAAGAGGAGGAGGAGGAAGGAGAAAAGGAAGGAGAAGGAGAAAGAGAAAAGGAGGAGGAAGGAGAAAAGGAAGGAGGAGGAAAAGGAGAAGAAGGAGAAAGAGGAGGAGGAAGGAGAAAAGGAAGGAGAAGGAGGAGAGGAGGAGGAGGAGGGAGAAAAGGAAGAAGAAAGAGGAAGGAGGAGGAGGAGGAAGGAGAAAAGGAAGAAGAAAGAGAGGAAGGAGAAGGAGGAGGAAGGAGAAAAGGAAGGAGGAGGAAAAGGAAGAGGAGGAGGAGGAGGAGGAAGGAGAAAAGGAAGAAGAAAGAGAGGAAGGAGAAGGAGGAGGAAGGAGAAAAGGAAGGAGGAGGAGGAGGAAAAGGAGAAGAAGGAGAAAGAGGAGGAGGAGGAGGAGGAAGGAGAAAAGGAAGGAGAAGGAGAAGGAGAGGAGGAGGAGGAGGGAGAAAAGGAAGAAGAAAGAGAGGAAGGAGAAGGAGGAGGAGGAAGGAGAAAATGAAGGAGGAGGAGGAGGAGGAAAAGGAAGAGGAGGAGGAGGAGGAAGGAGAAAAGGAAGGAGAAGGAGAAGGAAAAGAAATAAGGAGTTTTAGTCCCGCCTCAGGCACAATAGCCAACTGTTCACTACCTTGAGCTATTTAGATATTTATACAAATAATAAAAGCAGGATAAAAAAAAATAAGATGACGATGATTGGGGTGGGAAAGCCCATGGAAACAGCCTGGCATCATGCTGGGGTGCCCGGGTGAAGAAATCTTCCCTCTTCTTTGGCACAATCCTCTCTCCACTCACCTGCAGCATCCCTGGCCTTCCCCCCCCCCCATTCAACCCCAAAGGGAGTCATTATAAAGAAAGACCTTCCAGCTCTTTCCCAGCCACAATTCTCCTCCCCACAGCCAACGCCCCCCCTGCGCCTTGCTCTCCCCAGAGAGAAATCCAAAAGGAATTCTCCATCAACCTCTGCCTCTAAAGCAGAAAACCAGAAGCCTCATTCTCAGGGGAAGAAACCATTTGAGAAATTGGGGAGAGACCGTGAAAATCTGCTTCTCCCTCCATGCTGGAGGACTCACAATTCAAGCAGGCAACCCAAACATCCGAAGACTGGAAACTCTCAACGTGGACCCCAAAAGCAAAGTTTGTAGTTTATCTCCACCGCAGTGTTACCTCAGCCATGAAATCACTAAAAGGCTGTGGTTAAACCATTGTTTGCTCAGCCCCAGGGGGCAGGGGACAAGGACTAGCACTGGCCTACCCTATAGGGGTGTTGTTGTTGTTTTAGCAGACCTGGGGAAAAAAGCTGTTCACAGCAGCAGGCTCTTTCTGTGAGTCAGCCGTACTATCCCCGTAGAATTTCAAGCAGCGTCGCCCAAAATTAGGGCAAATTAAATCCATTTATAGGATGCCTTATCACATTTTAACACAAAAGCTTTTAAAGGTTTTGTTTGTTCCCTTTTTTTTTTAAAAAAAAAAAGAGGAAATAGCAAATGAAGGGAACTGTGAATTATGGCATTTGTTTGTGAAAGCAATTTTTGCCAGCAAATTAAAAAGGCTCCCGTCAAGATCCCCTGATTTGCAAAAGCGTTTAAATTTAATCAGTTGGCACAAAATGATTAATCACCCCAATTAATATGCATTTTCCTCTCCAGATTAGATTTCTCTCTCCTGGCTTCCCGCCGCCTCTTTCTTCCACCGAAATTCAGATAGGAAACCTCCGGGGGCTGACCCTGCTCTTTTTGTCTGGGCAAAGCTACAAAAGTTCATGAATATAGATAGCAAGGGATCCCTTTCCTTCTCCCCCTGGCCTTATGTTTCCAGGAGAAAGAATTCCTGCTCGGCTGGAAGAATTAGGAATTTGGAAACTCCCGGCCCATCCTCCCGGCCCATCATTCTGTGCCACAGACAGTTTTGGACTGTTTCTTGTAACTTTCCGATGGGTGGAGTGCAATTCCCAGAATCCCCCCCAGCCAGCATCCTTTAAGATGGGTGCACTTCAACCCTCAGAACTGGGGAGGGAGGAAGGAAGGAAGGAAGGAAGGGTGGATGGGAGGGAGGGAGGGTGGGAGGGAGGGAGGAAGGAAGGACAGGGAAGGAGGAAGGGAAGGAAGGAAGGAAGGAAGGAAGGAAGGAAGGAAGGAAGGAAGGAAGGAAGGAAGGAAGGAAGGAAGGAGAGAGAAGGGATGATAACAAGTAAATGAGGGAGGGAGGGAGGGAGGAAGGAAAATAATAGTGGGATAGGAAGGAAGGGAGGAAGGAAGGAAGGAAGGAAGGGGTAATAGATAAGGAGTGAAAGAAGGAANAAGGAAGGAAGGAAGGAAGGAAGGAAGCCATTAAAATTTGGCCATGTTGTCACTGAATCTCCAAAGTGGCCAATTGAGGCTGGGGGTTTCTGACTTTTTTTCTCATCAGAACCCCAAATGAAGAGAGAGGAACTAGCCAAGAAGACCCCCAAATGCACCCCACCTTGCTCTCCTGGCTGGCCCAGGTCCGGTTCACCCCAGCCCCCAGCCTGGCTCTAGCAGAGCGGAAGGGAAAGCGGAGGCACCCATCCAGCCAGCTTCCCTCCCACCCAGCGCTGGTACCTGCAATGGGCGCTCACTTTTTTTCCTGTGGCAAATGAACTCACCTCCCATTTCCTGGCTGGTGCTTAGAGTGACATAATAGGACAGGTGCCACCTCACCTGTTACCGAGTAACCAAGGAAGGCTCTGATGTCTGAGCAAGTGAATGGGTTGGGTAAGACAGGGGTTGTGGGGTTTCTCAAGCTGCTCTCCCTACCCCAAAGTTTCTCAAACTTTACACCCATTGGAGCCTTTTTTTTTTTTTTTATCAGGTGGTTAATTTTACTCTATTATTATTTTGCAGATTATTCGGAGGTCCCTCGACACAGCTCCCAAATACCAGGTACAGTTGCAAAATATAATTTCATCCTTCCTGTTTTCTTTGCCACCCGACCTCCCCAGCTAGAACTGGTCCTCTACTTACGACCACAGGCTTTAAGGTGGGTGGACTGCAATTGCCAGATTCCCCATGCCCCCAGCCAGCATGCTTTAAGATGGACCAGAATTTCCATTGCTGAGCAAGGCGGTCGTTAAATGAGTCACATTTGATGACCTTTTTGCCAGAGTTAAGCAAATCACTGCGGTTGCTAAATGAATCACACAGTCATTAAGCAGACTTGGCTTCGTCTACTGACTGCTTGTCGGAAGCCAGCTGGGAGGGTGACAAATGATGATCACATAAGCTCAGGATGTTTTATTTTGTTTGTTTATTATGGAATTTATTTGCCCTCCCATCTCGTGTCTAAAAACTCTGGGCAGCTTACAACATGGCGCAACCGTTATAAATATACAGTATGTCATGGTTCCGACAGATGAAACTCTTCAAAGAACTTCGAGGCATTGTTTACCTTAAAGAATCTTTATTTGAGTAGCATAGCATCAGCACTAACACAATGGAAGCCAAAAACTGAATTCCCCTCCCCTGAGCCCATAGTATCAAAGCACAATTCCCTCCTCCAATTAACAGTCATAAATCACATTCTCCAATTAGTTTGAAATGCAGGCTTCCGCTCCAGTTCTCCAGCCTGCCAATTCTTATCGTCTCTTATTTCAATAACCTTGGTTCTCACACTAGGTTCAGTATTGTTATGTCTAGCTAAACTCTCATGCACATTCCTCCCCACCCCCCAGCATCATCTAACTCTAAGAGTAAAACATAAGAAGAAAGTGGTTGCATCTCCATCTGTTGTCGAAGCAAAAACATCCGATGTTAGCAGCGTTGACACGGTAGTTTCCAGATGCCCAGATTTTAATTGCCTGACCGTGGGGATGCTGCAGTGGTTAGAACCGCATGGATGTGTCGTAAGTCACTTTTTTCAGTGCCGCTGTAACTACAAACCGTCGCTAAATGAATGGTTGTAAGTCAAATTGTGTGATTGTGACAAACCTCCAGTTTGGAGCATCCACAACTTCTGTTCTCACTGTCAGGAAGTATCTCCTTAATTCTAGGCTGGTTCTTTCCTTGATCAGTTTCCATCCGTTGCTTCTTATCCTGCCTTCGGGTGCTTTGGAGAATAAGTTGACCCCCCTCCTCTTTGTGGCAGCCTCTCAAATATTGGAAGACTGCTATCATGTCACCCCTCGTCCTTCTCTTCGTTAGATTAGAAGTACCCAATTCCTGCAACCGTTCTTCATATNAATAAAGCCCAGTAAATAATGTCTTATTTATGAATTCATCTTTGCAGCCTGGTCCTTTCTGTTCTCAAACAAAGCCCTCCAGGCATCTCACAAAGTTAATTTTTAAAAATGAAAGGGAGCTTACAAAGAGTGATAATGAACACACAAGCCCTATAATAACTTGGAGCGCACTGCATTAATCATATATCTAAACAAGATCATGTTTTATTTAAAAATATAGTGACAAGCTATAAGAGAGTGGAGGGGAAGCAACTTATTCCATCAGGGAAATTTGAAATTGGGGGTCACGACTGAGAAGATTCGCCTGCCCTCAAACCACCATCTGCAATCCCTCTTTTGAGGGTTGTTTTGAGAACAGGTTCAAATAAAACCAAATCATTTTTCTCTCTTACCTACCTCTACGCCAGCTGTTGGCATATTAAAAGTTCCCATGGTTACATGGGCAAATAAAACTAAAAATCACGTTTTACTGACCTCGTCTGCCATTGGTCTTCTTTTAATTCAGAAATCCAGTTTCACTGAGGTTTCAACTTTACAATAGCCAAGTTTTAAAATGTCGTTGTTTTTCAACCTGAGCAACTTTAAAATGTGTATATTTTAACTCCCAGAATTCCCCTGCCAGCTTGATTTAAGATGGGTGGACTTCAGCTCCCAGAATTCCCTGGCCAATATGCTTTAAGATGGGTGAATTTTAACTCCCAGAATACCCCAGCTAGCTAGCCTGCAGGATTCTGGGAGTTGAAGTCCACATACTTTAAAATGATCAAGGTTGAGAAACATTGATACAGAGGGGAAACGATGGAAAAAGCACCAGAAATAAATTATCACTGAAAATTATCCATTTAAGTAGATTAAGTAGTTTAAGTAGTTTAATGAAGAGAAGGACGAGGGGGGACATGATAGCAGCCTTCCAGTATCTCAGGGGCTGCCCCAAAGAAGAGGGAGTCAAGCTATTCTCCAAAGCGCCTGAAGGCAGGACAAGAAGCAACGGATGGAAACTAATCAAGGAGAGAAGCAACCTGGAACTAAGGAGAAACTTCCTGACTGTTAGAACAATCAACCAGTGGAACTACCTGCCTCCAGAAGCGGTGAATGCTCCAACACTGGAAGGTTTAAAGAAGAGACTGGACAGCCATTTGTCCGAAATGGTATAGGGTTTCCTGCCTGAGCAGGAGGTTGGACTAGATGACCTTCAATGTCCCTTCCAACTTTACTATTATTATTATTATTATTATTATTATTATTATTATTATTATTATTATTATTATTATTATTATTATTATTATTATTATTATTATTATTATTATGTCAGAGAATAACAGAGACACTTACTAAGATTTCCTGAGCTGGATTCAGGTTGCAAATAACAAAACCTCAAGAGGTTTTCCCAATCTTCCTTCGAAAAGAGAGATGGGCTCAGATGTAAAATATCCAGACTGGAAAAGAATCTCTGCTTTCTTTATTCTGATTCCAGAGGTAGAGTCGTTCAAATGTGAAATCAGCTAATTGCAAACGTCTCTCCGTGGGTTTAAATGAAGGTTTATAATAAAGATGGGATTTTACGAGTGGAAGCGCAGACCAAGACACACACCCCCTCCTCAAGGGAAGGGAGATGGGGGCTTTCTTGATAAACCCCCCCTCAGAAACCAGAGCAGGATTCCCATGCACTGAATTTTTTTCCCATCCGTAAATCCTTGCAGCTGGCACTGAACAAGAAATGATGTGATTCTCAATCAAACATGTTCTCGGCACAATATCCTGACCTTTTGCAAGGTTTCTAGAGGCTATTAGATTGGGAAATGTTGGAACAGCCTGGCAGAGAAGCAAGTAGCGAAATATGCCCGCCTGGCACTTGGCTTTTAATTCTCACGTCCTGCAATCAATTTTTTTTTTGTCTCAGAGGCAGGAGCAGAGAGCAGGCGGGCCAAGTCCACAGAACAAAATAAAAGGTTACGGAGGAGCCCAAGGACAAAATAAGCCTTGTCCTGTTGTTGTACAACAACGGGCTGTTGATAAAGAAAGCCATTGGAGCTGCAGAGAAGAGACATTTACAGGTGGTCCTCGACTTATGACCGGGAAAAGACCTGGCTGCTTCAATAAGTTGCATGCAGGAAGAGACCTAGCTGCTACAGTTGTTAAGGGAATCACTGCAGTTATTAAGTCAGTAACACAGTTGTAAAGTGAACACGTCTTCCCCATGGAGTTTGTTTGTCAGACGGTCGCCAAAGGAGATCACGTGTGACACCCACGGGACAATGCAACCGTCGTAAATATGAGTCAGTTGCCAAGCTGCTGAATTTTGGTCACGTGACCGTGGGGATGCTACCATAGTCATAAGTGTGAAAACAGACATAAGTCCCTTCGTTCAGTGCCATCGTAACTCTGAACGATCACTAAATAAATGGTTATAAGTCAAGAACTACCTTCAAAACCTGTCGTTGATGAATCAACTTTTTCATAAAACAAAAAAAAATGAAAGATCGGTCTCTAAGAGTCAGCCAGGGGCCAGAAGAGTTGGAGATGGAGATCGTGGTGATGGCTGAGGTCCACTTGAAGACCTCTTTGAGAAGATTCCCTTACCTTGGTCTTCTCATGCAATGTCTAGTTCAGTGATAGCAAACCTTTTAGAGACCGAGTGCCCAAACTGCAAACCAAAACCCACTTATGTATCGCCGGGTGCCGGGTGGGCGTGGCCCCCTCGGCGGGCACAGCTAGTGGGCTTGGCAGACTGGGTGGGCGTGGCCACTGGATGGGTGTGGCTGCAGTAGTCATGGCAGATTGGGTGGGCATGGCCGGGGTGGGCATGGCCACCTTGATGTTGCTTATGGGGAGGGGCACCTGTGGGAGCCAGGCAGGGTTGGGGGAAATCCAGGGGGTCCTAGTGGGTGAGATGGTGGGCTCCCCAATAGTGGCTCCAGGCTGGCTGGCCTTAGGCCAGTGGTAGCGAACCTTTAGAGACCACGTGTGCTGGGGCGATGGCGCGTGCCCACAGAGAGAGCTCCACGTGCCACCTCTGGCACGCGTGCCATAGGTTCGCCACCACTGGTCTAGTAGCTCTCTTGCAAAGTTAAATGAAAGATGCAATGGGAACGGCAGCCTCGCTGTGCTGCAAATTAAACCCTGGTTCTTCATTTTCCTTGCAAAATGATGGAAAGTGGCTCCTTCAGACATCCCAGACTTAAACCCTGTGACTCAGAACAGCGCCAAATTCACAAATTCCCCGCCCCAAAGCCCCCATGATAATTCACAGCTCCTTCAAAAAGCAACCAGGCTCATAAAACACAAAGCTTTTATTTGCGTGTTTCCTCTCGTCAAGTATAAAACATATTTTAAAAGAGCAGGAAAAAAAAAATAAAACCTTCCCCTCACCATAAAAGAGGCAGATCTATTTTTTTGCACAGAAATGGGATGCCTTGTTATGCTGTTGGCGTGGATATTTTTTAATCACTGGTCCTGCATTTCTAGCTAGCATATAAAAAGCGACTAACTCTGAAATGTTATTTGTTCAAGATTTTACCTCCCGTTGCCCTTGCAGGGAACGGCAGAATTCTCTGAAATGCAAAACAGAGAGGGATAGATATATATCCATAAGGATTCTCACTTCAGCTACACCGGGGTGGGAAAAACTCAAACAAGCTTTATTTATTTACTAAATTCATGTAAAATAGATATAATTTATTAAATTTAGATTTAAATGTATTTGAAAGGTGTGCGTTAGTACCATGAGTAAGCCTTCTCTGGGGCTAAATAACTAATCATGGTGGGAAAATAATTTAGCCACTCATCTCACGAGAAACATCATCCACCAGACTTCGTTTGCTACCCGCGTTGGGGGGGAAAAGTATGCTGCTAAAAGTTACGTACACACAGTGGAAGTTGCAGTTATAGAGAAAGCTTCCACTGGAGATAGAGGTGACTCCTTTTTTGGAACATAGCATAAGTCACTCCATCTTGTAACCTTCAGTATGCTTAATCTTACATTTCTTCATGCCTACGTGTTAGGCTGCAATCTGCAGCTGCACACACGTAAGAAACACAGAACAAAGGGACAAGTCAAAAAAGCTGTCTACACAAGCTATAATATTATCACTTCCTGATAAGACCTTCCAATGTGAACAACAATGGCAACTTTTACTGTGAACTGTTAGCCGTATAAGCCATGTATTAGATAAGATACATTTTGTAAAACTCCTAAACTCCCCCTGTTTGTAACCCTCACCCCCCTGCAAAAAGCCTTTTGCCTGCAATTTGCTTTGATGTATGCTAATAAAGGAGAGCCAGGGGGAGAGACTTTCACTTTGGATTTCTTCTCTCTCGACTCTCATCCGAGACAGCTTTGTGTCTGTCTTTTTTCTTTTACCATGAGAGTCCGTCACATAAAACTATCTGTTGAAGAAGGGAAATTGTAACCCAATGCAGGGTTTTTCAAACTATGTTCTGTGAAAGCCTGGAAGGGAGTCCATGAAAATTTGATAGGCTTCCATTCAGACACAACAGATTTCGTATCGCGAGAGCTTTGCCTCTTGATCAGAAATTCAAGGATTATTTTTTTTTTAAATTAACTAGCAACTTCTGCAGCCTGAAATGCATTTGTAATAACTTTGGAGGATATTCACGTCTCAAAGCATCTCTGTACAGTACACTTAGTCCCTGACTTACAAACAGAATTGAGCCCCAATTTTCCATTGGTCAGTGAGACATCGGTTAAGTGAGTTTTGTCCCATTTTGCCAAAGTTGTTAAGTGAATCACTGCAGTTGTTGAATTAGTAACACAGATGTTAAGTGAATCTGGCTTCCCTCGCTGGTCAGAAGGTCACAAAAAGAGATCACATGAGCCCAGGACACTGCAGCCGTCATAAATATGAGTCAATTGACAAACAGCTGAATTCTGATCTCGTGACCATGGGGATGCTGCAACGATTGTGTGAAAAACGGTCCTAAGTCACTTTTTTCAGTGCTGTTATAATTCTGGGCACTAAACTGTTGTAAGTCAAGGACTATCTGTATGTACAGGGCTGACAGCCTGAAGTCTAAAAGACCACTTCTAGCCAATCCCAAAGCCTTAATTCTCCGGAATTTGATGCTAAACTGTATTTTTAAAAGACACAGCAAAATTATAATGGCGATCAGGTGCGTTCATTAGGTGGAAATAAATTACAGCATTGCACACTGAAATTAAATCCAACACTGGGAGTTTTTAAGAAGAGACCGGACAGCCATTTGTCTGAAATGGGATAGGGTTTCCTGCCTGAGCAGGGGGTTGGACTAGATGGCCTCAAGGACCATTCCAACTTTATTATTATAATTATTATTAAATCAGATTTAGCTATAATCCCGGCTCTGCCTAATTCCTTGACCTTCAATCCACTACCAGTTCCACCATCTGTCTGAAGCTTAGCCCGGAATCAAGGGAGGCCAGATGCAAGCCTTAATCTGATCGAAGTTGGTTAATGTTAGCCTTTCCTGGAGGAAGGCAAAATCCATTCACCCTGGATTAAGGGAAGAGTTACTCAGCCCGTCTGTGACGCAAACAAAGCTATGGACCTTAAACTCCCGCCTGGCCATCCAGGAGAAGATGGGATTAAGAGAAATGGCTGCAAATAACTTTGTTTTCTCCCCTTAAGGAGATGATCGTATCTCAAGTTTGTAGAAATTTAGCACACACACACACACGTAGGCACACAAACACCAACGAGACGGACAGCTCTGAGAGAATCTGCTTTTTCCTCATTATTGGTTCTGCTGCTTTTTTCTCCTGACCATGGCCGTGCCGACGCCAACGAACAAGCCAGCCAGGCCCGCGATCGTCGCCCCCACAAAAAAGTCCCGGACCTGCGAGGTGAAAAGAAAGATGAGGCACAAAGATTTGCCTTCTTTTGCAAGAAAAGTCATGTATTCTCCTCGGTTCCGCTCAATCCACCCCACCTGCCGTGTTCCTGATGTGCTAATATGTCAGCAGTGATTGGCAATTCGTCAATCTGTCCGGGGGAGAGAGAGAAAAGAGCTGGAATTATGGGGAGGGGTCTGCTCTGTACGGGTCTGGGGTGCTGCAGACATCGCTGTGTTCCCCAAAAGAGGATTTTTCTTCTTATTGCAAGTCCTCAACTTACAACCAAAATAACCCCAAAGTTTCCACTGCTAAGGAAGAGGGTTGTTAAGGGGAGTGGGGGGCTTATTATTTTATTATTTTTCTTATTGTTATTTTTACTTCTTTTATAGGGTGTGTTTACATCCGTGTAAGCCGCCTTGAGTCTCCACTCTCAAGCAGGCAGCCATATAAATTTTCTAAAATAAATAAGTGAGTTTTGTCTCATTTTACGACTGTTCTGGCCACAGCAAAGGGTTGGACTAGAAGACCTCCAAGGTCCCTTCCAACTCAATTATTCTGCAAATAGAATAAACTGTTAAGTGAACCAAGTAACACCGTGGTTAAATGAATCTGGCTTCCCCATTGACTTTGCTTGTCATAAGGTCACCCAAAGGGATCACGTGACCCCGGGACACTGCAACTGTCTTAGGTACATGCCAGTTGCCAAGTGTCTGGATTTTGATCACGTGGCCGTGGGGATGCTGCAACGGTTTTAGGTGTGGAAAACAGTCACCACTCCCTTTTTTTTCAGTGCCGTTGTAACTTGGAACGGTCACTAAACGAATGGCTGCTAATAGAGGACTACTTGTGTAAAAGATGCTTCATAGGGCAAACTCAGGGAGGTTAAAAGGAGGCGTTTACACACAAGAGCTCTCCCAAGGCTTATGAATTGGCCCCCCCAAAAAAACCACCCCAATTTTGTACAGAAAAGCTCGAAATGAAGCTCTTACTTGATCGCTCCTGGCCACACCATAGCGCAACTCCGTGACAAAGTGTTCACAATTCTCACTGGTGATTTTATATTCCAGTTCTTGCCCCACCTTCTCTTCAGCCAGCTGGATAATCTTTTTAACAGGCAAAGGGGTATATTTGGAATCGTGTTTGTTGTTGACCCGGTATCGGTCGTTGCCCACCACTTCCAAGAGCCGTTCCTTCTTCACCAAGGCCTTGTTGGTGAGGGTGGACATGAGGCTGGCGCAACCTGCTCCGGCCAGCTCACCTTTAGGGGGGAAAGGAAGAGTCGGACGGTCATTCATGGAGAGCCAATATGGTCTAGTCGTATGGTCCAGCCAAGCTGGCTGGGGGAATTCTGGGAGTTGAAGTCCACAGGTCTTAAAGTCGCCAAGGTTGGATAACCCTGTCCTAGATATTAGATGTTCTCTGGACACCCTTCTGATATGTAGACTTAATTCTTAGTTCTTTGCTAAGAATTCTGGGAGTTGAAGTCCATGGGTCTTAAAGTTCCCAAGGTGGAATGCCCTTGAAAGTGTTTAAGACATCAGGCCAGAAACCGGGAGTCTGTGAGTTCTAGTTCCGCCTTAAGTATGAAAGCCAGCTGGCTGACTTTGGGCCAATCACCAGGAGTTGGTAAGTTCTAGTCCTGCCTTAAGTATGAAAGCCAGCTGGCTGACTTTGGGCCAATCGCCAGGAGTCGGTGAGTTCTAGTCCCGCCTTAAGTATGAAAGCCAATGTAACGATCATTAAATGAATTTTTGTAAGTCGAGGACTACCTGTATCCTGGCCAACATTGCTAATTTCCCAGGGTTAGAATCGTGGCTAAAATGCGGAGGTACAAGCCAAGTGGGACGTTTTGCCTGGTCATTTGGTCACCCATCCAACAGAGCTTTCCTTACTTGGTGGAGCGAGATGGATCACGTAGCCATTCCCCACGTAGATTGCCCAGTGCTGGTAGGCCAAGCGGAAGATTTCTATCAAGTCCCCAAGCTCCAGATCAACCTGTGGATAAAAGAAGACGATCAGGAGCCAAGAATTGGGATCACGCGTCAAGTTCCAGTTAAGAAGGTTTATTGCTCAACAAACTAACCAAGGAGAGAAGCAACCTAGAACTAAGAAGAAAATTCCTAACAGTGAGAAACAATTAACAATTCCGGATCTCCCCTCCTTCCGCCGCGCCCTCAAGACATGGTTATTTCAGCTGGCAGGACTGGCCTAAGGGGTATTTTAAATTTGGTTTTTAAATAATTTTAAAAAAAGGCCTATATTAATATTTTATTTTAACCACATTTTAAATTTATATATTGTATTGTTATTCTGTTTTAAACTGGCTGTAAGCCGCCCTGAGTCCACTAGGAGAAGGGCGGGGTATAAATGTGATTAATAAATAAATAAATAATAAATAAATAATAAACTAGTGGAACAAACGGCCTTCAAAAGTTGTGGGTGCCCCATCACTTGGAGGCTTCTAAGAAATAGGAGCCATTTATCAGAAATAATATAGCAAGAGCAAGGGGCTGGACTAGATGACCTCCAAGGTCCTTTCCAGCTCTATTACTAGTCAACAATACTAAACTGGTGCTAGATAAGGGTCAGTGGAAATCAAGACAGATTGGAGTTAGACAATTCTTGGGAACGCCATGACTCTAGGCTGATGACGTGCTTAACGCCGCCCTCCCCAGCTCTGCCTGCTCTTCTCCTACTTAGACCAAAGAAAACACATTCATGCAAAACAGGCAGAAAACCCAACGGTTTAAAAATAAACCTTCCAGCTAAGGCAATTTGAGAAAGAAAGCAACATCTATAAGAATTAGAAAACAAAGAGCTCGGTCACCGGATAATCCAGGCTAAAGAAGGAGCATTCCAGAACAGTGGACAAATGTTTCTTTTATGAAAAGGGCTGCTGCTTTGGGCGCTGACGGAGAGGCATTGAAAGCCCATTGTTCCTTAGCATTGCAAATTGTTGTTGCATTGTAGGAACTTTTTTTTTCTTTCTCTTTACACGCTTTGCAGATTGTTTTCCCCCATAAAACGGAGAACGTGCTCCCATCAGCAATTATTTTAACAGTCTCTTGAAGGATCCTAAGTGTTCTTGAAGGACTTTTGCAGCCCTTATCTGTAAGAAATGGCTTTTCCCCCAGCCACACAACCCCCGTATGCAACCGACAATTGTTGTGGCTCTTGTTGTGCTTGTTATTACAGATGCTGAATCAATTCCTGCAGGGATCTTTCGCGTTATTGATTAGTTTTTCCAGCAATTCATTATTTACAACCAACTAATCCGAAGGAGCACATCATATTAAGTATATAGAATCAGATTCCCCAATTGCGGCTAAAGGTTAGTGTTTCAAAATGTTTGAGCAATCAATTATAAATCCGATGCTCGGGGCCTTTTCATTTAATGAAGGAAAATAATGTGTAAAACTAACCTTAGGAGATACGTGCACACATGCATACAAATATTCTGCTCAGCTCCCCAAAATGTTGGGCAAACTGTGCTACAGGTACTCCTTGGGTTACAACAGCTCATTTAGTGACCGTTCAGAGTTACAACGGCACTGAAAAAAAGTGTCTTAGGACCATTTTTCACACTTATGACCACCGCAGCCTCCCCACGGTTGTGTGATCAAAATTCAGAGGCTTGGCAACTGACTCATATTTATGACGGTTACGATCCCCTTTTGTGACCTTTTGACAAGCAAAGTCAACGCGGGAAGCCAGATTCACTTAACAACCAGGTTACTAACTTGAGAACTGCAGTGGCAAGAAAGGTTGTAAAATAGGGCAAAGAAAAAATGTCTCAGTAACAAAAAAGCTGGGGCTCAGTTGTGGTTGTAAGTCGTGGACCACCTGTACTGCAGTCGGATGAGTCCGCTTGCCCAATTGAAGACTGTACGGAGAGTCCTCAACTTTCAAGCGTTCGTTTAGCGACCGTTACAGCAGTACTGAGAAAGCGACTTACAACTAGTCCCCGCTCTTACAACCGTTGCTGCACCCCCATGGTCACGTGATCAAAATTCAGGCACTTGGCAACCAGCATGACAGAACAATTAACCAGTGGAACCACCTGCCTCCAGAAGCGGTGAATGCTCCAACACTGGAAGTTTTTAAGAAGAGACTGGACAGCCATTTGTCTGAAATGGTACTATAGGGTTTCCTGCCTGAGCAGGGGGTTGGACTAGATGACCTCCAAGGTCCCTTCCAACTTTATTATTATTATTATTATTATTATTATTATTATTATTATTATTATTATTATTATTATTATTATTATTATTATTATTATTGCAACAGCCTGGGATCATGTGATCACGATTTGCAACCTTCCCAGCCACCTTCCGACACGCCACGAGGAATGGAGGATTCGTTTAACGACTGCATGATTCGCTTAACAACTGTGGCAAAAAAAGGTTATAAACTTGGCACGACTCGCTTAACAACTGCCTGCCTTGCTTAGCCACAGAAATTCTGATCCCGATTCTGGTTGTTAAGTCAAGGACTACTTGTACACTGTTCATCAGAAAACAAAACCTTGTTGGACAAATTTATTTAGGTAAGTCCCAAAGGTGGAAAAAAACAAGAAAGTCCAGTTTCCTGTACACACATATACATACATACATACATACATACATACATACATACATACATACATACATACATACATATTATTATTATTATTAGTTTTTATAGGATTAGGAATAGGATGGAGTCAGGGTTGTGGTTGGAGTTAGGATTTTTTAAAATAACATCCTTAATATTTAGCAAACAGCATGTTGTCTGGGTTCATGCATTTTTTAAAAAATGAATAGTTATTAATTATCATAAACAATATGTTAATTAATTGCTCGATAATCTTCTTCTTACTAGTATATATTCAATGTTACATATCACGTTCCTTTCTCTCTAACTCGTTTTTCGAGCCATTGATAAAAATTATCCCATGTTCTAAAATACACTGAATCTTCTTTCTCTTTTATCCTTAAGGATAAAAGACTCTAAAATTTTCTTAATTAATTCTTCTTCAGTTGGTCATTTTTCATTTTTCCAATGTTGGGCAAATACAGGTCTTGCTGCAGTTAGTACATGTAAAATTAAATATATACAGTCTAAGAAAGTCCAGTTTCCTTTTGAAAAGCACTTTTGGGGCAATCAATGACCTGGATGATGGAGCATCTCCATAGTTATTTAGATAACGTTATTTAGATAAGGTTATTTTCCATGGTTCAGAGTCCGCCAGATAGTTACTATCTGCTTCCCTTTGGCAAACATTACATAGTAAAACTGGAAGAATGGCACAACTTTGTCTAAGTCTAAGTCCAATTCACACACAAACGCACAAATATTTCCATAAATAACAGCCTAAACCATGCCAACAAAGCAGGACTTTGGAACAGCCAAAGCTTCAGATACTCAAATACCTAATGCAACCTAAAGAAACTCATTTGTATGCTAAAGAGCTATACAGAGACACACAAACACTGCTTTTATTCAACCTCCAGTTCTCCCCTGCTGCAGCATTGCTGCCCATAAAAGGCCCCAAATCTGTGGGAAGAAATGGCTGCATTCACACATTGTCTTTCCTTTGGTTTCTGAATGGTCTCCCCGTTTTCTGGGTCATAAGTGTGAAAAATGGCCATAAGTCAATTTTTTTCAGTGCCGTTGTAACTTTGAATGGTCCCTAAATGAACTGTTGTAAGTTGAGGACCACCTGTATCCTGATTCTGTTCAGGTGGATCCATTTTTTTCAGGGCAACTGCATTCCTGGAAGTTGGATCTGCATGATCTGTTTGGTTGTGGTTATTAAAAGGGGCCCATTTTAATTGACGTTCTTCATCTAGAACACTGAATGGTAATAAATTAACCCAAGCTGCTTGGTTTGACCAGATCTAATCAATTTACCCAAATCTTTAATTAAAACAAATCTAACTAACCCATCTGAGCAAAACCATAGCCCTGTGTTGTGTGAATCCTGTTTTGACCTGACTCGCTTTGTATAAACTTAACCGTTCCTTCTTCCCTTCCCTACAACATAACACAAGCAAATCACAGAATCTTATCCCATATTTCCAGCAAAGCAAAACACAGGTGTTTATGACACCTGCGCAAATCCCCATGGCACATACATATGCACACAAGGCAAAAGCCCCAGGTATTGTTTTTCCAAATATTTTCATGTGATATGCCTTCTGCCCAGCCTCCTTTAAAATGCAGTTTTAAATAGTTAGAATACAGAAAATAGTTACCTTTCCCATTTTTTTAAAAAACAACTAAGCTACCCAATTGAACGTCCATCGTAATAATGAACAACCTTAAGTGAGCTGGGTAAAAAGTTACTTTTTTAAAAAATGCTATTGATTTTACTGGCTTTTATGGGAAACAGAAAGAGAAAATTCTCTTATGCTTAGTGGAATGTTTGGATGCAACAGCTGTAGGTAAGAAACATGCTTGCAAATTGGCAAAAATATTTGCGCAATTCTTTTTCATGAATTTCATAAACTTCAAAAGGAAACAAGAACAAAGCAAAAGCAAACTGACAAGGGGAAAAAACTGCATATAAAGGAATAAATAAAAAGCATACACATAGATGCCCCCCCCCAGTTGAATACTGATAAATATATTTCAAGAATTGTAGTTCCCCCCCCCCCTTGCAAAGCAGGTCCACAATTTATGAACTTCTGATTTTTACACAATTTCTGTTTGCTCTAATAACCCCTTCCTGCCTTCTACTCACTTACCTCGTCCATGCTGGCTATCCACTGTTTGTATCTGTGCTCACTGCAGCTCTGAGTTTCTCAGCAACACAGGACACACACAAAACCCCAGAAACACAAACAGCGTGTCCTTTTGGAAGCTGCCTGAACAGAACTAACAATTTGGAATAGACAGGATGGAAAATGAAAGTGGGAGAGCTGAGTCTGCTCTGAAAAGCATCACATGGGAAAAATTACGCAGTCTAGTAAGGGACAGCTGGCCAATCAAGAAAAATATCTGTGTCATCATGGGTGTGTGGGTTTTTCTCGGTATCAAATGTCAGTCCCTAAACCAGCAACGTTCAACCATTTACTCCAGTTAACCAGGAAAAACTAATAAACTTTGCTTTTCTGTTGGCACCTGGATTAGAAGTTTAGCCTGCAAAAAAAAGACAGCCATTTCTATTTTGCTTATATATGTAGTCCTCAACTTACGACACAGTTAGAACTCGAATTTCCATTGCTAAGAAAAAAGCGATTGTTAAGGGATTCACACCCGATTTGATGACCTTTGCCCATGGTTGTTAAGTAAATCACTGGGGTGAAGTGAACCAGGAAGTTGTTAAGTGAATCGTGAGGCAGTGTCATATATTTATGACGGTCGCAATGTCCAACTGGGGTCATGCGATCCCCTTTTGCAACCTTCTATCAATCAATGTCAATGGGGAAGCCAGATTCACTTAACAACCAGGTTACTAACTTAACAAGTGCAGCGATTCACTTAACAACTGTGGAGGCAAGGTCGTAAAATGGGGCAAAACTCACTTAACAGCTGTCTTGCTTAGTAATGGAAATTTTGAGCTCAATTGTCGAGGACTAAATGTACAGTTATAGACCAGCATAATAAAATAATGTGGGTCACTTTGGTGGAAAAAATCAGAAAAGAGATACAGGATGTAACTGCAGTCTACACAATCTTTCTGGATTCATTTATTTAATTTGATAACTTACCAGATTGGAAAGCTTTGCTTTGATGGTTTTAGGAATTGAGCTCTTCTGGTGCTCCATATCACCATGTGCTACCGAAGAGCCACGACCTGAGATCAAACCAACATGTCAATACTTCTGATAAGCCAGGAAGAGTCACACCAGTTTGAACATCTATCCCTTCCAAGCATCTCTATCCGATCTAAAGCTTTCTCAGAATACTTTCCAGAATCATAAAGCAAAAAAGGCAATCACGACTGCAAAAGACACAGTGGGAAAGATATAAAAGAAAAGAGCTCCTTAAGCACTCTTTTTGGTCAAAGCCAGCAAATCATGGTTTGATTATTGTGGGCCACCCACAATGAGAGTTGAGCAGCATACAAGTTTTAATAAATTATCATTATTATAATTCTTCAGCCAAGCAAGAGAAACTTCCAGCATTAATATCTATTTGTTAACCAAATCTTAAGCTGCCTTTTGTAAACATTTTTCAAATGTTTTCAGCTCCATTCTCAAAACACAAGCAGCCCAAACAGAAATCCAAACATAACAATATTTTAAAAAGGGCTGTGAAATAAAAACAGCTAAAAAAAACAGGAAGAAGGCTAGAATTTTTTTTAAAAGCCAATTTTTTTGGCTATTTTTCCACAGCCAAAAATAAAGAAAAATGAAAGAGGTGCTGAATCTGCCAGTATTTTGACTATGTTTTTTATTAAATAAAACAACTAACAAAACATTTAAATAAATCAAAAATGCCTCTCTTGACCTGCAGATGTTACCTGGAATGAAGGATTTATTATTAGCGTTTCAAAAAGATAATATTAGTGCTTTTAATATGGCCGCCTAAGTCTCTTTTCCTAACTTCAGGAAAATATCTTTTTTTTTTTTCCTTAGCCAAGGCCCTTTTTTTTGGTATGCAAGAACTTATCTTTCCTAAGAGAATAAACAATAGGGGGCACATTCTGAAAAGTCCTTGAATGCACTTGCAGGTTTTAAGAAAGATACAAACTCAGCTGGAGAACAGTCACATCATTCATAAATTTGCCATTTGGGGAATGCAATCCAGAATCCACATTTTCTCTTGTTCGTCCACAATGTCTTTTATTAGTGGATCAATTCCCTTCTGACCCCCACGTATACTCAAGGCAAGCAGTCCTCCACTTACAACAGTTCATTTAGTGACCGTTCAAAGCTACAATGGCCTTGAAAAAAAGTGACTTAGGACCGTTTTTCACATTCACGACCGCTGCAGGTCACGTGATCAAAATCCGGCCGCTTGGCAGCTGACTCATAGTTATAACGGTCGCAGCGTCCCGGGGAGGGTCACGTGACCCCCTTCTGGGACCTTCTGACAAGCAAAGTCAAGGGGGGAGCCAGATTCTGCTTTACAACCGTGTCCCTAACTTAAGGACTGCAGTGGTTCACTTAACAACGGGGCAAGAAAAGTCACAAAACGGGGCAAAATTCACTTGACAAATGTCTCACTTAACAATAGAAATGTTAGGCTCAGCTGTGATCAAAGATTATCTGTATATGGTTCACTTATTTCTGTACCCTATTTAAAAAAAAACCACTCAGCCCTCTCCCTTAATAAATGCTTGTTGCTTTGCCTGAATTACTTAGTGGTTTATATTTGTAAATAGGCTAAGAAGCCCTTTTGCAAATATAAAAAAAGTCTCTCTGTCGCTCAAATTCAGGGCTACTGTATGTTCTCATCGGCGCCACACCAAACTCGGGGTGCCTGAATTTGCAGGGCACGTAGGTGTGCCCAGTTGCACGGAGGCTATACCTTTGGAAAGCAAAGTCTGATGCTGCAACTTCTTGCTTTTCTTCAACCCTACGGCATGGGCCGTCTTGGCAGCCCCAGAGCGTGCCTTGGTGGGCATCCCTGGCTGGTCTCCCTTGGCGTTCACATGTGGCGCGTGGAGGAGACCGCTTCGTGCTCCTCTCATCATGGCATGCGGAGGTCTTGCCAGCTGCTTCTCGGTGACACTCAGAGTTTGGGGGCCGTGTCCCCCCAAAGCTTGGGTTGGACCCACCAAGGACCTGCTGCTCTTCTGCTTGGCATTGCCTTGCGGGCAAGCCACCGGCCTTTTCCCATTGTCCTCTGTCCAACACAGCTTCTTCCCAACTAAATTGGGATGCTGTGTGGACTTGCCAGCGTCCTTCTTCGAGGGGGCCTCGTGGTGAGTGGGGGGCGATGTCCCTTGGGGGCCTTTGGTGGGTGGCTTGGGATCTTTCGAGCCTTCCAGGACCAGCGGCTTATTTGCAGCCTGCTTCTTGCCTGTCGGCAGCCTAACAGGAACGGAGGCTGACGTCTTCATGGTGCCCCCCTTGGCCGGCAGGGTCTTGGGTGGGTGGGCAACGTTCTGGCAGGATCCGCGCTCACAGAACCAAACAAAGAAGTCAGACATAGCACTAGCCAGGCTGGGTCTCCTGTCCCCTGGCCTGGCAGCTGCTGAGGGTCCCCAATGGATTATGACAAGGGTCTTCTCCTGGCAACAGGGACTTATGACCCCCTGCCCCTCCCTTTGGCTTGGCATCCCTGGATTGGACCAGGGTAGCCCCCCCCCCCAGCCTTATAAAATAAGTCAGTGGGGGTTAGTTTTGACCTGTGTCCTTAGTTGCTATGTGGTGAGCAGAAAGTAAATTAGTGAAGTCAAGAGCTACTATAAATAATTTAGAGTAGAGTAGAGTAGAGTAGGGTAGGGCAGGGCAGAATAGAATAGAATAGAATAGAATAGAATAGAATAGAATAGAATAGAATAGAATAGAATAGAATAGAATAGAAGCTGGAAGGGGCCTTGGAGGTCTTCTAGTCCAACCTCCTACCCAGGGCACAACAACAACAACAACAATAACAATAATAAAGTTGGAAGGGACCTTGGATGTCTTCTAGTCCAACCCCCTGCTCAGGCAGGAAACCCTATACCATTTCAGACAAATGGCTGTCCAGTCTCTTCTTAAAAACTTCCAGTGTTGGAGCATTCACAACTTCTGGAGGCAGGTGGTTCCGCTGGTTAATTGTTCTAACTGTCGGGAAGTTTCTCCTTAGTTCTAGGTTGCTTCTCTCCTTGGTCAGTTTCCACCCGTTGCTTCTTGTCCTGCCTTCCGGCGCTTTGGAGAATAGCTTGACTCCCTCTTCTTTGGGGCAGCCCTTGAGATACTGGAACACTGCTATCCTGTCCCCCCTCGTCCTTCTCTTCATTAAACTAGACATCCCCAATTCCAGCTTCCGTTCCTTGTATGTTTTAGCCTCTAGCATTCTAGACAAATACTATAAAAAATTAAAATAGTAATACAAAAGAAAATAAAGGCACTTGGAAACAACCAAACCAATAAACGTAGAAGAAACAAAAGTGGATTGGCTTCCCTACACACATGCAAAACACACACACGCAAACACACAGTAAAAGGATGCCAAATTCCTGCTGCAAGTGAAGCTAAAATTCAGCAACCAAGTCCTGTTGCTTGCTGGGGGGGGGGGGGTTCTTCTTCTTTGTTTCACTTAGGAAAATACACGCAGGTCCTATTTTAGAACTTTCCTGGCTGATGGAGAATCAGATGCCAGCTGCTTTGCCCTCCCCCCCCCATAAAAAAAAAAAACCCCACAGTTCTCCCACTGCATCTCCCATCCAGAACAACTGAGAAAGCGGCGGGAGACAGGAAAGTACACTGAATTAGTCATTTTATTGGGTACAGGGCCCCATAAATAAAAGAAAAGCAAGCCTTTTTCCGGCGATCAGCAAGTCCGCCGGGATTTTGACACATCAGCTGATAAAACGTGGAAGGGAGGGATGGGTCAAAGGCAGCCTGGCTCCTCCCTTCTCTGTCCTTGGGAAAAAGCCAATTTTTTTTTCCCCTGCTTCTAAAAGCAAGTGGGAGTTCCGGGGGTGGCGTTGCCGCCCCCTGCTGGAGAAATGTTGGTCCACATCTGGTTACCATCTGCATGGCCATCTACGTCGAACATAGAATCATAGGGTGGGAAGGGACCTTGGAGGTCTTCTAGACCAACCCCCAAGCAGGGGACCCTATAAACGTTCCAGGGGGTGTCAAACTATTCTCCAAAGCACCAGAGGGCAGGACGAGAAACAATGGTTGGAAACTGACCAAAGAGAGAAGCAACCTGGAATTAAGGAGAAAGTTCCTAACAGCAAGGACAATTAACCAGTGGAACAGCTTGCCACCAGAAATTGTGGGCGCTCCATCACTGGAGATTTTTAAGAAGAGACTGGACAATCACTTGTCTGAGATGGTATAGGTTCTCCTGCTTGAGCGGGGGGCTGGACTAGACCTCCGCGGTCCGTCCCAGATTCTATTCTATTCTATTCTATTCTATTCCATTCCATTCCATTCCATTCCATTCCATTCCATTCTATTCTATTCTATTCTATTCTATTCTATTCTATTCTATTCTATTCTATTCTGCTCTATTCCCATTCTCTTCTCTTCTCTTCTCTTCTCTATTCTATTCTATTCTATTCTATTCCATTCCAATTTATTCTATTCTATTCTATTCTATTCCATTCCATTCCATTCCATTCCATTCCATTCTATTCTATTCTATTCTATTCTATTCTATTCTATTCCATTCCATTCCATTCCATTCCATTCCAATTTATTCTATTCTATTCTATTCTATTCTATTCCATTCCAATTTATTCTATTCTATTCTATTCTATTCTATTCTATTCTATTCTATTCTATTCTATTCTATTCTATTCTATTCTATTCTGACATTGTTAAAAACCACACATTAAAACTATAAAATTAAACTGATGAATAGTTTGCCAAAGACTCAGATGTCACCAAAGCTACACTTGATAACATACGTAGAAAGGGGGGGGCTAATATATCCAGGATGGGCTGCAAAGGACGAATGCAAGGAATCTTCTCCAAAAATAATTTTGCATTGATATATTTGAGAATGCTAGTAAAGCACATGGGCTTCAGCCTATATGAGGATGTAAATGGAGACCCACCTGGAAACAATTTCCAACCTCTGCAGTTCTCGGTCTGCTGATTAGAGCAGAAGTCCAAATATCTCTTCAAGGAAGATGGTAATGGGTAGAGAGGAAGGTGCAGGATTAGGAGAGAGGAGACCCAGGTTCTAGACCCCTTGTGGAGAGCTGCACCCAGTGGACAGACAAGGGCATCCCTCACCCAAGTGATGTAGCTAGATGTGGAGATGACACCTTCTCTCTGGGTTGAGATATGGAATGTGGAGATGAGACATCTCCTTGGGGACATCAAATCAACATTAAATTGGAGGCTGCTCAGTTCAAAGATGGAATGTTGTATCAAGAGACCTCAAAGAAAGTTCAGGGACCATTCCAACTGACCATCATTCTAGGCCAAGCGTCTGCAACCCTCTTGCTGAGAAGATAGAGGTGGACCATCTGAGATGAAGAAGACGGACCCTCAGAGCCCCCCCCCAATGTAGCGCCCAACCAGATCAAGTCGAAACGTGGTCCAAGAAAGTAGGGAGAAATTGCACCAGACATTATCTTCATTGGAAGGTAAATGTTTATTTGGAAGTTGTGACTGAAACTGGGCGTGGAGAGGAGAGCATCAAGCATAGGCTTTTGACCAACTGCTATCTCAAGGGAAAAGAAAAGACAGCAGAGAGAGAGAGAGGCAAAGAGAGAGGGAGGAGGCAAAAACACATTAGAGAAAGTGAATTCTTCAGGACTGTTAGTTGAAGCCAAATGTCTAAGGCAGTGATGGCGAACCTTTTAGAGACCGAGTGCCCAAACTGCAACCCAAAACCCATTTATGCATCGTCGGGTGCTGGGTGGGTGTGGCCATTGGCTGGGTGTAGCCCATTGGCTGGGTGTGGCAGACTGGGTGGGACTAAAAAGTTCAATCAATCAATTCCAACTTTGCAAGATCTTTTTTTTCCCCGCAAGAAGTTGAAATTGACTGATTGATTGAACCTTTTTTTTTTTTTTGCAGAGGCCTAAAGTGAAAAGGTTTTATAAAACCCAGCTGAAGGCCTAGGACTGGGGCGACAGTGCGAGTGTCCACAGAGAGGGCTTTGAGTGCCGCCTCTGGCACCCGTGCCATAGGTTCGCCATCACTGGTCTATGGAGATTCTCAATCATCCAAGTCAGAGTTGCTCCAGACGTTCTCCTTGCTAGATCTTCAGAGTAGCAGGATGGCCAAAGCTGCTGCCATTGCGAACCAGACTGCTTTTCCGACCTGCAAATTGAAGAGATAGACTAGGATCAGCAAAGATCTTTTTTGACTCAAGGAAGGAACATATTACGTAATCCTGAAAAATGGCCTGAATTTTCTACAGTTTGATCAGGTTTCCCCCAGCCTAGAACATATCATCATTTATCATCCTCATCATTTTAGCCATTGTCTATCCACTGCAGGCTGAAGGCCTCTTCCGCATATACCTTGGCCAATGGGTCTCAGTGGAAGGTGATACAATAAAGGTCTGGAGCCAAGCATGAGAACAGGCCGAGCTGAAGGAGGGAGGATAGCAGAATAACAGAGTTGGGAGGGGCCTTTGAAGTCTTCTAATGCAACCCCCCCCCCACTTGAGTAGGAGACCTTATACCATCCTGGACAAAGGGTTGTCCAATCTCTTCTTGAACACCTCCAGCGATGGAACATCCACAATCGCTGGAGGCAACTTGTTCCATTGATTGTTCTCACCCTCAGGAAATTTCTCCTTAATTCCAGGTTGGATCTCTCTTTAAGGATCTTCCATCTGTTACTAATTGTCCTGACCTGTTCAGGTGTTTTGCAGAATAAGTTAACCCCCTCCCCCAATGGGCTTGGGGGCTAGTTGGACTGCAATTCCCAGAATTCCCCGGATCCCAGAGCCAATGCAATTCTGGGAGTTCTAGTCCCAACACAACCGTAGAGCACCAAGTGAGGTGAGCCTTCTCATCACTCAAGAGAACGCAGCAGTGCTGGTTAATGCTCTTGGGATAATCCTCCCGAGACTGAGATTTGCAAGAAATTTGTCTAAATGTCCAAAAAGTGCACTCACCTGATCACTGCGGGGCACATCGTATCGCAGGCTGTTGGAAAAATGCTCACAATTCTGGGTGGTGATTTCATAATTCACTATTTTGCCCTCCAGCTTCCTAGCCATAGTGACAATCTGATCTGGGGTCCGGACATTATAGGTGGAGTCATGCTTGTTGCTAACACGGTAGCGATCTCTTCCGACCACATTGGACACGGGTTCTCTCTTCACCATTGCTGTCTTGGCCCAGAGAGACTTCATGCTGGCCGCTCCAGCTCCAGCACATTCACCTTCAGAAGGAAAGAGGGGATGTGAGAGTCAGGAAAGAAAGATAAATTCCTACCCATAGAAGATTTTTTGTAGGGCTGAACTGTAGAGGACTTGGTGCTATCTGAACGTGGTCGTTCTCTTGCAGAACCAATAGGTAACATCATCATGCTAGGAGGGGGAGGGGTTTGTAGGGAGGAGGAGGAGGAGGAGGAGGAGGAGGAGGAGGAGGAGGAGGAGGAGGAGGAGGAGGAGATGGAGGACTATGGGGTCCTTAGTGCTCTCTCAGTTTCGTTTTCTTGCAGATGTTTCATTACCTAGCTAGGTAACATCATCATGCTAGGAGGGAGGGGGATTGTGGAGAGGAGGAGGAGGAGGAGGAGGAGGACTATGGGGTCCTTAGTGCTCTCTCAGTTTGGTTTTCTTAGAGATGTTTCATTACCCACCCCTTACCCATAATCCTCAGCTCACTGCCACAATTGGGACCAGAATTTTAATTTCTAATCAGGGCGGTGGTTAAGTGGATCTCTCCTGATTTTGCAAGCTCTCTTTGCCACTATTGATAAGTGAATCGTTGCCGTTCTTAAGCGAGTCACGCGGTCATTAAGCAAATCCAGCGTCCCCAACCTATCTAGTCTGTCCGAAGCTGGCTGCAAAGGACACAAAGATCAACCACAAAACCCCAGGGGCTGCAGCTGTTATAAATACATGGTGGCTGTCAAGTGCCCAAATGTTTGATCACGTGACTGTGTGGATGCCATGACGGTCCTAAGTGCTCATTTTCTGGCTTGGTCCCGCTCTTCAGATGTTCGTAGCAGCTTGGCCAGAACCGAAGGCGAGGTCTATCCTAAACCATTGCCCAAGACTAATATCCAGCTCAGATACAAATATTCCAATGGGTTTTTGCGGGTCATTTTTGTGGGTTCCTTACTTGGTGGAGCCAGATGGATAACGTCACCCAAACCCGCATAGACGGCCCAGTGCTGGTATCCCGTCCGGAAGATCTCAATCAAGTCCCCCGGCACCAGGTCCACCTACAAGGAAAGGAAGACCAGATTGCAGTGGAGAGGAAGCAGTGAGACCCACCCAGCCAGCCAGCCAGCCAGCCTGCCAGGAACTCTACTAAACCTGCAAACAGATGCAGAACCCGCAAGGACCGTTAAAGCAGAACCCAAGTCTACAAGCCCTCATGCATGCAACAGGGCAGGAAGTTGAAAAAAAAATACATAAAGTTGCAGAATCAAAAGAACAACAGAATAACAAGAGTTGGAAGGGATCTTGGAGGTCTTCTAGTCCAACCCCCTAAGCATGCTAGGAGTTGCAATCCACACCTTTTAAAATTGACAGAGATCGTTATTGCCCTTCTGGGTCTCCATCGACCTCCTCCAATTAAACCTGCCTTCCATTTATTTTCTTTCCTGCGATAAACGGATGCCATAAAATTAGCCCACAAAGCTGAATTGCAGAAAAAGTAATTGGATACACCCAGTGGTGGGATTCAAATATGTGAACAACTGGTTCCCCCCTTTCGGGGCAAAGTTCACCCTGAAAAGTACAATCCAGCGTCCAAGGGGGTCATAAATCACACCCCAACACCCGCACATACACAAATTACACAAAGCAATTGTAAGGTTTTCCACTTAGCCTCACAATGGCCCCAGCGTTACTCGGGAATTTAAAAGAGAGCCAAAGAAACCCCTGAGCCGAGGTTTCGGCAAGCAAACCACTTTTATTTTGATCCAAATAAGAGTTGGGTGACCCCCATCTCTCTTCGTGGCTGGTAGAGAGATGAAGGCAACAAGCAGGAAGGATGTCTTCCAACTTTTATACCTTTCCAGGACAAAAAGATCAGGTCTTGGTACCAGGCATAAGATGGCACAAAAAAAATAATTCCTAGATGATGACTCATGCACAGCAACCCAGGCTCCATCCGTAACTCCTTTTTAATCCCTTCCGCTTGCCGTGTTCTTTTCATGTAAGCAATCACCTGTACCTAAAGCATGAAACATTTGCTTTTATATAACTAATTTCCCAATATAAAGCACCTCCAAACTGCTTGCACATAAACAAAGATATATATATATATATATCTTGTAATTTTATATATATATATTTGATTACAAAGTAATCAATATTACTAATATCAAGTTTAAGCATAATAAAATCCCTTCAGCAATACTTTTTTCTTTCGCTCTCCATCTTAGAATCCTGTCCCTGTTCACTTACTTCGCCTCTCCAGGATGTTTTGTTGGTCATATTTATGCCAGCTGCGTTTTTCCCCCTTCCCGGGAATCTGGAGTAAGAAAACGTCTAAGTGACGGAGGAGAAGCTGGGAGCTTTTGAAAAGGTCCCGAGCAAGATCTGTTTGGGGGGATCCTGTCTGCTGGCAATAAATAGTAATCGTGGAAAGTGAAAGTAAAGCTAGCACAAATGCAGACTGCCAAACAGCCCCAAATAAGGTATTACGTGTCACTTCCACAAGAACAATAGCAGTTTTCAGTTCTGATTTCCTAGAAATGTCCCCTTTGACTGTAAAACTGGGAGGGTGGGGCAGGAAAACCGAGTCATTGATATAGGATCTGTTTCGATTCGATTTCTATAGCCGCCTATCTCAGCAAACAACTCTGGGAGACTCACAATTCAAAACTGCATGTTACAATTAAAATCTTAAAACCACTTAAACCAGATTAACTTCATGCTGGGGCCTCACTCAGAAACTCTTGCCTTGGAGGGGGGGGGGAAGACTTTTTGAACTCTGGTGGAGCAAAGAAAATTCTCCTTTTTTGGTAACCAAGCACGGAAATGAACCGATGGCTCATTTGGGACCTTGTCACTTAAGATGGCCCATTTGGGAACCAGAGGCCATTTCTGTATTCTTAAAATACAAAATAAATGTTACACACTTTCCCAGGTTTGGCTGATGCAATTTCTGGTGCTTTTTGCTAATTTCCAGCCCCAAAAAAACACCCATTGGGGAAACTGTTCTCATTTAACAAGAGCGGCATTCTTTTAACAACTTCAGCATTACTTAATGATCGCCGCAACTTATAATCTTTCGGCTCAATTCCGGTTCTAAGTTGAGGACTCCTTGTATAGGCATTAGCTTTCCAGAAAAAGACCCTGCCCAAACACACACACACACAAATGCATGCACACACTTCCCAGGAAACTATTTCAGAAAATCAGCCTTCATTTCCACAGCTGCAAAGCGGAATGGGACAACTCGCTGTAGGGGCAATTTAACAATTCAAGTTTAATTATCTATATAAATAAAAATGTAAATGTTCGTTTGTTCAAAATCTTAAATCTCCGAAAGTTCTTCACCGATTGCTTTGAAATTTTGACACAACATTGCATTCGAATACGCGCGTGTTTTTATATACCTATATTATATAGATGTCAAAAACATGCTTTTTTTGAAAAACAGCGCCATCTGTTGGACGTAAAAGCAACACATGCTACGATTTTACGATTCCATTTCAATGTTTCCGATTTACGATCCATTTACGATTTCCAAATTTCCAGTTCTTTCTTTTCCATTTAACCAGACTGAGCCACAGCAACGCGTGGCCGGGTACAGCTAGTTTAAAATAAATTAAAAGTTATTTTAAATTTTGCCATTTACATTTCATGTTGTCCCCGTTTCTGCACTCCTTCTTTCATGATCTCTATTCCATTCTTTCTTTGATATTAGAGGAACTCTTGTCCAGTGGCAAGTCCTCCTACAGTGAGTTGGCCACAATAAGTTGGCCGTGGCTATTTGGTCATGGTGAGCTGGCCACGGCAAGTGGGCCGTGGTGAATTGTCATAGACCTGCTGCAAATTGGAGTCCCTCCTTTTGCGTTTTATAAATGTAATTCAGCATCAGCATCCTGGCCACACGGGTGCACAGGGGGGAAGTTTTTGTGTATAACTGACAAAGTTGTCAAAAGATTCTGAGAACTCAGGGCCACAGAGGATGGACTTTCTACTACTACTAGTATTCGGCAGAGTTAGCCTGAAATATTGCATTCTAAGCACTAATCACTCCCAGGATTCTGGGACTTCTGGTCCCAAGAGAGCACCAAGTGGGCTGGGCTGTCTTATATCACAGGATAACTAGTTTTTCACTATTTGGATAATCCCCTGAGACTGGGACGGCAAGAAATTTGTCTAAGTGTCCAAAGACTGCACTACTTGCTCCGTGCGGGCCACACGGTAATGCAGTTTATTGGCAAATCGCTCACAATTCCAGCTGGTGAGTTCGTAATCCACCGTTCGGCCCACCAGCTTCTCTGCCTTAGAGACAATCTGATCTGGGCTCCGGACAGTACAGGTGGCGTCATACTTGTTGTTGATGCAAATATATAAATAAGGTATGTGGACGCCACAATACAGGTAGTCCTCAACTTACGGACACAATTGAGCCCAAAATTTGTGTTGCTGAGAAATTTAAGTGAATTTTTGCCCCGTTTTACAACTTTTCTTGCCACATTTGTTAAGCGAATCGCTGCAGTTGTTAAATTAGTTATACGGCTGTGAAGGGAATCTGCCTTCCTCATTTGACTTTGCTTGTCAGAAGGTCGCAAAACGGGATCACGGGACCCCATGGGACACTGCCACCGTCATAAATATGAGTCAGTTGCCAAGTGTCTGAATTTTGATCGCATGACCATGGGAATGCTGCAGCGGTCGTAAGTGTGAAAAATGGTCCTAAGTCACTTTTTTCAGTGCCGTTATAACGTTGCACAGTCACTAAATGAGCTGTTGTTGAGGACTGCCTGTATAGGCCTGAGCTTGTCAGGAAAAAAGACACAAGACACAAATTAAACACATACACATACTTCGCACCGTTTCAGTATACCAGTCTTTATTTTCGCAGTTGCAAAGTGGAATGCTTTATTTTGTGCTTTATAAATATAATTCAGCATCAACATCCTGGCCACATTGGTCCACGGGGGAAAGTTTTTGACTGACAAAATTGTCAAAAGAGTTCTGAAAACAGCGAAGGGTGACAGGCGGAAACAACAGGGAGAGACAGCATCCATTTCCCCACACACACACATACACACACTGGGAAAACTCTGGGTGTCTTGGACTGCAACTCCCAGAATCCCGAGCAGCTATGGCCAAAGGAATTCTGGGAATTGTTCTCAAACACAAACATGGCTCTCCATTTTCCACTCAACCCTTTAAAAAGAAAATCTGCTCCCTGGTTTGGGTTTCACGCTGCCTTTCCTTCGTATGGCCGAGGCCAGGGGTAGGTAACCTTGGCTCTTTTATGACTGGTGGACTTCAACTCCCAGAATTCCTGAGCCAGCCATGCTGAGGGGAAAGGGAGGTTTCCAAGCTGAGCCATGCTGGCTCAGGAATTCTGGGAGTTGAAGTCCACGAGTCATAAAAGAGCCAAGGTTGCCTACCCCTGGCCTAGGTTTTCCAGTGCAGAAGGATCTGTCTCCTCCTACCACACTTCAGATTTTACACTCAGCTGTGTCATCTACAAAATAAAGAATGACCTGAACTAGCTCGTTGTAACTCCAAAGGCGCAAAACCCCTACAAAAACGTTGGCATTGGAGAGATCAGAGACTTTTCTCTTCTCCAGAGAAAATAAAACTGCGCCGTGAGCTTAGAGACCTCTGTTTAGAAATGGGGCAACAATTCATTTCATTAATGAAAAAGAGGTAGAATGCAAAAATTCTTATGTGAAAATAAAACGTGCTGCGATAGGAAAGGCCACCAGAGGGCGCTCATGAGCATAAGCTGGGAAAGAACTCTGCGGATACCACTTGCTCCTTGCTCTCTAATGGGCCAAAAGGCCAACATTTGTGCTTTGCGATCAAGCGAGACTCCAATGCAGCAGCAAGAATAAGGCAAAACAGGTCAAAAAAAAAAAAGGCACCTTGCAGAATGCATAAAGCTTATTCCACCTTCTGGAGAAGACTTACTTACTGACCGAGTGAGGCTAGAATGACTCAAAGCTTGGAGCAGAATAATAATTTTCGGTGCTAGGCCTAGTCAAATAAGGTTTTCAAGCAGGGGAGGGGGGGGAGAAAAGAGGCACTCTGAACTTTGGGTACGTCTGCAGCTAGGGAACGCCCAGCCTGCTACAGAGTTTTTATTAGCGGTTGATTTGGTGGGCGACAAAGGAGAAACAGACAGAATTTAAAAGAGCGTGGCTCAGAATAGGAAAACGGACTTCCAACACACAGGCAGAGAAGAGACCCAGAAGCTGATTCACCCTCCCCAGCTTGGGAAAATCAGAAAAAAAAGGGGGGGGGATTCTCCATACCAGTAAAATACAGAAAGAACAGCCAATAAGGCAGCATCACTGGCTGTGCCTCAACCCAAAGGGTGTCTAGGATTGCTGAGGGGTGCGTACAGATGCACACACAGGAACCACACTCAAGGAACAATGCCTTGACTACACCTGTAAGGAGATCCCTTGCGTTTCAGTGTTCCAGAGTTAGGCCAACACAAGAACCAAGGTGAACTGGACACCAAGTCGGACAGAGAGAGAGAGAAAGAGATAAAGACACAGGCAGCAATGCGAGAGCCGTTGAACACACCGACACCTCCGTTGCTCTCCCATTTGAACTTCCCGAGACGTCTTCCTAAGGCAGTGGAGCTGCGTAGCCGGGCACGATTCTCTTGGCTGAAGCAGGAAATGGTCCAGTTCTGAAAAGGCACTAAAAATAAAATAGCTTTCCTAATTTTATTTAATTATTTGGCTAGGCCCGGCCGGCCTCAGCAGACCCTTTTGAACTTTGGCCAAACTCTCACCAAAAGAAGAGCTGGGTAAGTTAGGCACTCCGAGGTTGGTACCTGGGGGGGGGGGGGGCTGTTTTATGGGGAGGGGGGAAGAAGGGGAGGGGTGGCTGCTTCTCCCAGGTACAACCGACAGGCCTCAAAAACAAGAGCCAGCAGCTGAAACAACAGTTGTCGAGTTGGTTTCCTTTTTGTCACGGAAGGCACTAACTGGTAGGGAAACGCTGTTTCGTTCCCTTGTTTAAAGTGCAGAAGACTTCTTTCCTGAAGGGAGGGGGGGGTGAAATAAAAAACCAGGGGAGGGGGGGTCCATCAAAGGAAGGTGAGCAGGAAGAAAGGGGCAGGGGTCCCGACTCAGAAGCTCAGATTGGCTGTCTATGAAGCTCTGCAAAAGCGATTCCTGGACCGGAAAGGCAGATTGTGGTGATCCCACCGTCACCAATGACATTTTGGGGTTCAGACCTCACCGCGCTGCTTCGTTCACTGAGACTTCCTGTGCGGTGTGGGGGCCACAGGCTCCTCCCTGGAGGGGGGCGCATGGGTAGGTGACCTGGAGGAGGTAAGCACAGGTGGGAAAACGCTCAGGTTAGAGAAACCTTCACCCCCAAGCAGAACACTCAGAGCTCATAATGTACTGATTTCCAGGTAAGCCTCGACTTACGACCACAATGGACCCCCAAATTTCCATTGCTAGGTGAGAAACTTGTTCACTTTACCCCATTTTACAACCTTTCTTGACAGAACTGTGAAGCAAATCACCGCCGTTCTTAAGTTAGTAACGCAGTTCTTAAGTTAGTAACGCAGTTCTTAAGTGAATCCCCCATTGATTTTGCTTGTCAGGTCTTGCAAACGGGGGGTCACGTGACCCCGGGACACGGCCACCGTCATAAATAGGAGCCAGCTGCCAAGCGTCATGAATTTTGATCGCGTGACCACGGGGAATGCTGCAATGGTCATGTGAAAAATGGCCATCGGTCACTTTTTTTCAGTGCCTTTGGTCACTAAGCAAGGACTTACCACAGGTATTTATTACATTTATATGCCGCTGATCTTGCGTCAAGGATTACCTGTATATTTATTACATTTATATGCCGCTGATCTTGCGTCAAGGATTACCTGTGTATTTATTTATTACATTTATAGGCCGCTGACCTTGCGTCAAGGATTACCTGTGTATTTATTTATTACATTTATAGGCCGCTGATCTTGCTAGCTAGAGTGACCCTGGCTGCTTTAAGCCACACCCGCCATTCTTCCAGGAGAACCCCACTTCCTTAAATTTCTTTCCTTCACCGTCCATCAGCACCTCTTTAACTCAAACGCCCTTTCTCAGATATTGTGCGAACCCAACAAAAGACACAACTTCTATCAAGGAATATATTGAATGGCTGACTGTCACTTGTCTAACGGCAACTGCTGTTGCTTGTCTTTTTTCTCTGTCAATTATCACTTTTGCATTTCCTGGACCAGGTGCCAACGGGAGATTACAGGCAGTCCTCGACTTAACGACCATCCAAAGTCAGGACGGTGCTGAAAAAAATTCAAGGGCTTGGCACAATTCAAGATCACATTTGTGAACTTCCCAGCCGGCTTCCGACAAAGCCAAGCTAATGGGGGAAGCCGGACCCACTGATTTGCTTAACAACTGCAGCAAAAAAAAATGGTAAAATCAGTTGTTAACTCAATTAATGACTGCCTGGTTTAACGCCGGACGTCCCCCAATTATGGTCGTCACCCGTATCCAGCGAAGAGGCTCAGCATTTCCCCCACCTGCAGGATTAAGCCAAATACGTACCCCACAGCCCGTATCTTCTGCATCACGAACTCCGCTGTATTGTCAATGACTATGCCCAGTTCGCGGTATTCGCCCGAATATCGGATGTAGCCCCAGGCTAGCAGGGAGAGAAGCAACAGCCCCACTATCAAGTTGCAAAACTGGGCAACCACACTCAGTCCGATGTACTCGGTGACCCCCGAGCTCACGTAGAGTATCACGATGAAGCCGAAGAGGATGGCCGGGGTCCGGAAAGTGTTGAAGATGTTTTTGCTCTGGTTATGCTTGGACAGGTCTTCGAAGAGGTCGCTCAGCTCCTGGGTCAGCTCGTCCTCGTAACGTTGGCTGAACTCCCGGCCGCCCATCTTCTTGATGCGCCGGAACTGCTCCACGGCCCTGGTGCTCAGCTCCCGGTGCTTCGACTCCAGCACCTCGGGGGCAATGTAAGGCTTGTCTCCGCCACAGATCTGGAGGGAGGGAGGAGCCAGCAGGTGAAGCTTCCAGGCACGGTAAAGCAGGCGGGGAGAGCCGGTTTGGTGGGTGGTTCAAGGCACCGGGAGACTGTGAGTTCTAGTCAAGCCTTAGGCATGAAAGCCGGCTGGGTGACTTTGGGCCAATCACCAGGAGACGGTGAATTGTAGTCCTACCTTAGACATGAAAGCCGGCTGGGTGACTTTGGGCCAATCACCAGGAGATGGTGAGTTCTAGTCCCGCCTTAGGCATGAAAGTTGGCTGGGTGACTTTGGGCCAATCACCAGGAGACTCTTGGGCAGCCCATACTGAGTGCAAACAATGGGCAAATCTCCCCCCCGGCCCCCTCCAGCCCCCTCACCTTTTCCATGCTGCTGTAATACAGGTCTTTGGCTGAAGCGACAGCCGCCAGGTTGTTGGCTTCAGCCGTGGCCTACAAAAGAGGAAAAACAACATCACTAAATCACAAACACTAAATCTGCTAAGGTCTAGGACAGGGCTAGGCCATCTTGGCTCTTTTATGACGCGTGGACTTCAACTCCCAGAATTCCTGAGCCAGCGTGGGGGAACTATGGCCCCTTCATGACTTGTGGACTTCAACTCCCAGAATTCCTGAGCCAGCGTGGGGGAACTATGGCCCCTTCATGACTTGCGGACTTCAACTCCCAGAATTCCTGAGCCAGCGTGGCTCAGCTTGGAAACCTCTCCCTTTCCCCTCAGCATGGCTGGCTCAGGAATTCTGGGAGTTGAAGTCCATGAGTCATAAAGGGGCCAAGGTTGCCTACCCGATTTAGGAGAACCGTAAAAGCAAAACAAAAAACAAAAAAAAAACCATGGCACGTTATGAGAATCTCAGATGAGGTATTAAGATGGGGGCCACTCTCTTGGGTTGCATTCAGAGGTTTAATGCTGCCATTTTTCTGTACAGTTCCGTAATTTTGTTCGCTCCTGCAACTGGAGCCAGCTCTGCAAGCTTTGGAAGCAATACAGGTGGTCCTCGACTTACGGCCACCATTGAGCCCAACGTTCCTGTTGCTAAGCGAGACCCTTGTTAAGTGGGCTTTGTCCCATTTTACGACCTTTCTTGCCTCAGTTGTTAAGTGAATCGCTTCAGCTGTTCATTTAGTAACACGGTTGTTAAGTGAATCAGGCTTCCCCTTTGACTTTGGTTGTCTGAAGGTCGCAAAAGGGGGTCATAAATATATGCCAGTCGCCAAGCGTCCAAATTTTGATCACAGGGATGCTGCAATGGCCGTGTGAAAAACGGTCAGAAGTCACTTTTTCCAATCCTGTTGTAACTTCGAACGGTCACTTGAGCAGGGGGCTGGACTAGAAGACCTCCAAGGTCCCTTCCAGCTCTATTCTAATTCTATTCTATTCTGTATTTCCATTCCATTCATAATAATAATAATAATAAAGTTGGAGGTCATCTAGTCCAACCCCCTGCTCAGGCAGGAAACCCTATAGTACCATTTCAGACAAATGGCTGTCCAGTCTCTTCTTAAAAACTTCCAGTGTTGGAGCATTCACCCCTTCTGGAGGCAGGTTGTTCCACTGGTTAATTGTTCTAACTGTCAGGAAGTTTCTCCTTAGTTCTTGGTTGCTTCTCTCCTTGGTTAGTTTCCATCCGTTGCTTCTTGTCCTGCCTTCAGGCGCTTTGGAGAATAGCTTGACTCCCTCTTCTTTGGAGCAGCCCCTGAGATATTGCTATCATGTCCCCCCTGGTCCTTCATTAAATTAGACATATCCAATTCCAGCAGCCATTCCTTACATGCTTTAGCCTCCAGTCCCCTAATCTCTGTTGCTCTTCTCTGCACTCTTTCCAGAGTCTCAACATCTTTTTTACATCACGGTGACCAAAACCGGATGCAGTATTCCAAGTGTGGCCTTACCAAGGCCTTGTAAAGTGGTGTTAACACTTCCCGTGATCTTGATTTTATCCCTCTGTTAATGTAGCCTAGCACTGTGTTGGCCTTTTTGGCAGCTGCAGCACACGGCTGGCTCCTATTTAAGGGATTGTCTATTTCTATTCTATTCTATTTTCTATTCTGTTCTGTTCTGCATCCCTGCATTAAACTCAAAAAAAAAAAGGAAGCAGTGCACTTGTTCAGTTAGCAACACGGCTGTTTGTTAATGGAACCTGGCTTCTCCACAGCTCTTCCATTTCCAGGCTAAACTCACCAGCAACATGGATTTGGGGTGTGGCAGGTCTTCCCCCTGGTAGATCTTAATGTAGGCCTATAGTGAAGGACATTAAACAACCATTATTACATGACACATATTTTTTTTAATCTATTTTTTAGAGGCAGGCCAAACTACAGCTAACTCATTGGTCACTCCCAGGAGTTCAGTCTTGATCAGCTCAAAGTTGACTCAGCCTTCCCATCCTTCCAAGGTCGGTAAATGAGGACCCAGATTGTTGGGGGGGGGAACAGGCTGACTCTGTAAACCGCTTGGAGAGAGGGCTGTAAAGCACTGTGAAGCGGCATGTAAGTCTAAGGGCTATTGTTAAGGAGGGGGGGTAATACCTTCACCTGGGGCCACATCTTCACCATCACCCCACCCTGTGTCTTGGGCTCAGAGGGGCCCACCCCAAATTGATCGGAAGCAGATGAAAAGTTGGTTGAAAGATGGGCAGCTGTATAAATATTTTAAATAAATAAGCTGAATAAATCGGAACGTCAGACCAAGCAGTTCTCTCTCTCTCTCTCTCTCTCTCTCTCTCTTTCTTTCCTTTCTTCCTTCCTTTCTTTCCCTTCCTCTCATTGAAAAGAAAAGGAAAGAAGCCCATAATGTGATATAACATACCTTGAAATACTCTAACAAGCCTCGGCAGGTCACTTTTGAACCGTTGATCTCCTTTTCCAAGAGCTGACTGGGATCCAGGACGAAGGGGATCAACTGCTTCAGCTGATCCTTGAATTCATCAGCGATGTCTGCGCAAAAAAGTGGATGAAAAAGATAAAAAGAGGAAGAGGAAGAACGCAATTGGGAATGGAGGTGTGTTTGTTTTTTTTTCCCCTCTCCCCACGTGAATTTGTTTTATGGCCTTATAAAATGCAAACAGACATTATTACGGTAGGTAATAACTGTAAGGTTATATGGGAAAGCCTTTAGGAGACAGGACAAAAATATGCTGCCAAGCGAACGATTAGAATAAGAGACAGCGGAGCCCTCAGCTGCACAATGGGTGGAGAAAGAGGGCGAGAAGAGACCCTCCCCTCGTTTATCGGTGAGGGGGTGTAAAGGAGAGGGCAGGAGATTTGTCCTTTCAGATTTGCAAGATTCAGGTAGACCTGACAGGAAACACAATCAGATCAGCTAATTCTACTTCGCTACCTTGACATCTTACATCTGTTGGGTGTTAAGTTGGAAGGGACCTTGGAGGTCTTCTATTCCATCCCTCTGCTAAAGCAAGAAACCGTGTTATCATTCTGCACAAATGGCTGTCCAATCTCTTCTTAAAAACCTCCAGTGATGGAGCACCCACAACTTCTGAAGGCAAATCGTTCCACTGATCGTATCTGGAAGTTTCTCCTTAGTTCTAGGTTGCTTCTCTCTTTGATTAGTTTCCATCCGTTGCTTCTTGTCCTGCCTTCAGGGGCTTTGGAGAATAGCTTGACTCCCTCTTCTTTGGGGCAACCCCTGAGATACTGGAACACTGCTATCATGTCACCCCTGGTCCTTCTTTTCATTAGACGAGAACAGGGGTCTCCCCAGACTTTAAGACTTGTGGACTTCAACTCCCAGAATTCTCAGCCAGCCAGCCAGCGGAAGTCCACAAGTCTTTAAAGTTGCCAAGTTTGGAAGACCCCTGAATTAGAATTAAACATAAAACAGAAGCCAAACAGAGAACCACACCCTGAAATGCTTTTCATAAATTTGGGAGACCCTTTTCCAAAGAGGGTTTTTTCCAGCTTATGGATCTGCAGCACAAAGCCACGTTTTGGGACGAGGGGGGGGGGTCTTTTTCATATCAAGACCCAACTCCTTCAGAGGTTCCAGCCCTTACCACTCAGACGGCCGTCGAAATTCGGGCTAGTGGCCACTTTGAGTCCCGGATGGGGCAAAAGGAAACAGTTGACGTTGGTGAAGCAGGAATGGATGTGTTTGCGAACGTTCTGGATCTCTTCATGCTGGTGAGATTTCACCTTGTGGGAGAAAGGAAGGAGAATTCAGAATAGGTCCAGGAAACCCAGTAGACTAGCACTGATGATGTTACCTAGCTGGGTCATGAAACGTCTGCAAGAAAATAACCAAACTCAGAGAGCACTAGGAATCTCACAGTTCCTCCTCCTCCTCCTCCTCCTCCTCTTCCTCCTCCTCCTCCCTTCTAGCACTGATGATGTTACCTAGTTGGGTCATGAAACGTCTGCAAGAAAACAACCATACTCAAAGAGCTTCAACAACCCCTCATTTCAACCCTGAGCTACAAAAATTCTCCTTTATTCAAACCCAACACCGTCCTTCATATTAATAACAGTAAAAAAAAATACCAGGATCAGGAGGTTGGGAAAATAAAACCTTTCTCTAGAAACTATAGTCTGCAATGTTTTCGGGAAATCCGTTCAGGCTCCCGCACCATTCGAAGGGTGTTCATCCCGAAGTGCACAGTTAAATGTCTAGATTCTCAGGCATCCAGATCAGGGTTGTCCCAAAGGTGCTTTTTCAGGAAGCAACTGGACTTCCTCGTTTTTCTTTGAAGATGTTTCGCTTCTCCTCCCAGAAGCTTCTTTAGCTCTGGCTGGATGGCGGGGAGTGGAAGGATTTATACTCCTTGCAGACTGCTGGTCATTTGTGCTCTTTTGGAGAGTCGTTGAGGCCGCTTGGTTTATCTGTGTCCTCAGAGTCACCTGAGTAGTGCAAATGGGTGTGGAACACAGTCCTTTCAGCAGTTCCAAGAAGGGCCCACACCCATTTGCACCATTCAGGTGACCCTGGGGACACAGGTAAACTCCCAAGTGACCTCAACGACTCTCTCAAAGAAGGCAAATGACCAGCGGTCTGCAAGGAATATAAATCCTTCCAGAATTCCCCAGCCACCATGCTTTAGGAAAGGTGGGCTTCAACTCCCAGAATTCCTCAGCCAGCATGCTCTAAGATGGGTGGACTTCAATTCCCAGAATCCCCCAGCCAGCAGGCTTTAAGAGGGGTGGACTTCAACTCCCAGAATTCCCCAGCCAGCTGCAGTCACAGTGGCTGGGAGGTTATTTTTGTTTAGGTTTTACCTCCAGACGTTTATCGAGGAAAATCATGCCTCCGTCTAAGCCGTAGTTATACTCATACGGAAAGCTCCAATCCCGCACCAGGAACATCAGCGTCTGCATTAAGAAAGAAGGCTCAGATTAAACCTTTGCACTCCAGGGCGCAGAAATCTCCCCTTTCTGCAGAGAAGGCAGTTTAAGTGGTGAGGAAAGTTCTGCAGGCCAAAACATATGAAGAACAGTTACAGGAATTGGGGATGTTTTCCAATATTTGACGGGCTGCCACAAAGGGGTACCCAGGCAGACTCTCCCCCCCCCCCCCCCCGCACAACTCCCGATCGACCGAATGCACACCTGGAATGGCTTGAGAAAGATTTCGTCCATGGCCAGACGCCCGTATTCGGTAAAGAGCTGCACAAAGAGATAGAAAGCAACACTGAGGACCAGTTGCATGAAAAGCTCACACACTTTACGGAGGTCCTGCCTACCTGCAGCTGCTGGAGGTCATCTTCTTGGATGTTTTGGGACAAGTTGTAAATCTGGAAAGGAAGGGAATGGTGTACAAAGTTAATTGTTTGCTTAACAACCGCAGCAAAAAAAAAAAGGTCATAAAATTGGGTACAACTTGCTTAACAAGCACATTACTTAGCAATTAAAGTTCCGGCCTCAATTGTGGTTATAACTCAAGTGCTTGTCTCAGTGCTTGTAGGGTTACTATGCTTTCAGGGTTTTAGGCATTTTGTTTTAATTTTGCAAGCTGTCCAGAATCATGTCTGTGAGATGGGCATATATAAAATGGTTGGGTGGATGGGTGGATGAAGAAAGAAAGAAAGAAAGAAAGAAAGAAAGGAAGGAAGAAAGGAAGGAAGGAAGGAAGGAAGGAAGGAAGGAAGGAAGGAAGGAAGGAAGGAAGGAAGAAAGAAAGAAAGAAAGAAAGAAAGAAAGAAAGAAAGAAAGAAAGAAAGAAAGAAAGAAAGAAAGAAAGAAAGAAAGAAAGAAAGAAAGAAAGAAAGAAAGAAAGTTGTTTTTGATGAGATGGGCTATATAAATTAGATATAAGATAGATAGATAGATAGATAGATAGATAGATAGATAGATAGATAGATAGATAGATAGATAGGTAGGTAGGTAGGTAGGTAGGTAGATTAGATGATAGATAATATGGAAAGATAAAGATAGATAGATTAGATGATATAGAAAGATAAAGAAGATAGATTAGATATAAAGATAAAGAAGATAGAGATATAGAAAGATAAAGATAAAGACTATCTATCTTCTTTATCTATATCTTTCTATATATCATCTATCATCTATTATATCTATAGATAGATGATATAGAAAGATAAAATAGATAGACAGGCAGACATACATAAACAGATGGACAGACAGACCAACAGGTGATGGATGGACAAAGAGAGAGATAGAGCAAGAGAGAGGGATGACTAGATAAAACTAGAGAGAGAGGGAGGGAGGGAGGGAGGGAGGGAGGGAGAGGGAGAGAGATCTGAGTCTCCAGGGGCATCAAGATCTTCTGCTAACCCCCTGGGCTCAGATCCCTCCATGCCAGTTTTCCTAACTTGCCAATCACGTCCAGCTGCAAACGGTGGGACTTCCTAACAAGCGAACGGATGGCAGCTCACCTGAACGGAGCTGGTCATAGTGCTCAGGGCAAAAATGGTGGCGCAGTCTTTGACGGTGGACTGGCTGTCAAAGGCCCCTTGGGTGTCCATCAGCACAACAGCGACCTGCAAGCAAGAGATTTTATTTTTTTTTGAATATTTACAATTTACTGTTGGAATTCAAGCCTTGAACTTCTAAGACGAAGGTTCAAATTCTGAATGGGTCATCAAGCATCCTCAATGTCTTGGGCCAATCGGTCGATCTACAAAATTAGATGAGGAAGGGGCTTCCCCACCAAAGGGGAGGAAAACCCCAAACGGCTTTGACATCAAATATGTAAAAAAAACAACAACCCAAGAACTTCGTTTCCCCTCATCCAGAGGAAATGATTCTTGTAGCAGACCCATCAAACAGATTAATAGAGGAGACGTTCTTTTAAAATGTTTTCTTTTCAAATTCCCTTCCCACTTTTAAAAATGATGGAGGATCTCAAAAGAGCTTTGGTTTATACGGGTAACATTTATCAACGTTTACCACATTAAAAATTAAAGGACACTGCAGGGGAAAAGCACCAGATGTTTTGGACTGGAGGCTAAAACATAGGAAGAACGGTTGCTGGAATGGGGCCTGTCTAGTTTAATGAAAAGGAGGACTCGGGGTGACTTGATAGCAGTCTTCCAATATTTGAGGGGCTCTCACAGAGAAGAGGGGAGTCAAGCTGTTCTCCAAAGCACCTCAAGGCAGGAGAAGAAGCAACGGATGGAAACTAATCAAGGAGAGAAGCAACTTAGAACTAGAAGCACTCATCCAGAGGTTGTGGGTGCTCCATCATTGGAGGTTTTCAAGAAGAGATTGGACCGCCATTTGTCTGAAATGGTAGGGTCCCCTGCTTGAGCAGGGGGTTGGATTAGAAGACCTCCAAGGTCCCTTTCTGTGATTCTGCTATTCTTTTTCCCTCCCTCCCCATCACCGGAGGCTTTTAAGAAGAAACTAGACAACCTCTTGTCTGGAATGGTATAAGGCAGGGGTCTTCAAACTTGGCCCTTTGATGACTTGTGGACTTCAACTCCCAGAATTCCTCAGCCAGCATGCCTGGCTGAGGAATTCTGGGAGTTGAAGTCCATAAGCAGGGATCTTCAAACTTGGCCCTTTGATGACTTGTAGACTTCAACTCCCAGAATTCCTCAGCCAGGCACATGTGCCTGGCTGAGGAATTCTGGGAGTTGAAGTCCACAAGTCATGAAAGGGCCAGGTTTGAAGACCCCTGGTCTAGGATCTCCTGCTTAAGCAGGGGGTTGGACTAGAAGACCTCCAAGGCCCCTTCCACCTGTTATTCTCTTTTGCCCAGGCTCTGCTTTTAGCTCTGTTGCCCTGAAACTTAGATCTATTTTTGCAAGCTGGCATTTCCTTTCCCTCCGTAGCCACTACTGCTTTTACCTTCTTTCCGTTTGGCTTCTTCACGATAAAGACTTCGCTCCAGATCTGAATGCCGGTGGTCTCGGGGTCGGAGCCCCCCCGCCAGGAAAAGCCCGTCAAGGGCTCTTCCCCCACCCCCAGCCAATCAACGCTGTCTTCTTTCTGTAGAAAAAAAAACACCGCAGGGTCAAAAAAAAGGCCTCCGAAAACTTCTGAGCATCATAAGAACAAACATTCCTTCTGATTAGGGTGCTTTCGCCCAGATTTTCTCAAGCAGGACTTTCGCAGACCGAAAGGACTACACCTCCCATCTTTCCAGGTCAGCGTGCTACTGAAATCTCAGGCATCCCAAGGTCTGTTGAGTCAAAGGTAGACTTTTCCCTTCCCTGGAATAGATGTTTCTCTTGGAGGCGGAGAAAAAACTCTTTTTAAAAAAATAAAAAAGGGGTTTATAAACTTTTTTCAGGACCCCCATAGCATGCAAATAAGATTTTTTTTGGGGGGTGGTGGAGGAGATGGGGTTGGGGGAGGGGGCCCCACCAGAGTTCTGGATCAATTGATCAAGCTACTTGGACAGAAATCTGGGGATGATAAATATGATTTGTGTGCACCTGTGGGAACGCACGGCTGCAAGAGGCAGGGTCAAAGAGAGAGAAAAATAAGATTTGGATCCCGGTCTCTGATCCCTGAGTTCGAACTGTTAGTCATGGGAGTAGAATAGGAGCTTTGTGTAAGGAGAAAAGCTCTTATGCAATCTCTCCACCATGGTATAAAATGATGGCAAAGGAACGGCAACAAGCCTCGGCTTGCTTAAGTCCCATCTTCTAACTGCCATTCAGCACTCCTTTGCTGAATGGCAGAAAATAGGCAACGACATCCAGATTCAAACACAGTTTATTCTTTCTCTAGGTGTTTCCCAACCTTGGCGACTTTAAGATGGGTGGACTTCAACTCCCAGAATTCCCTAGCCAGCATGCTTTAAGAGGGGTGGACTTCGACTCCCAGAATTCCCCAGCCAGCATGCTTTAAGAGGGGTGGGCTTCAACCTCCAGAATTCCCCAGCCAGGATGCTTAAAGATGGGTGGGCTTCAACCCCCAGAATTCCCCATCTGGCATGCTTTAAGATGGGTGGGCTTTAATTCCCAGAATTCCTCATCCAGAAATTCTGTGATTTCAAGTCCACTCCTTGCAAAGCTGCCGCAGTTGGAAAACCCTGACAGTTAAGACCAAGAACAAACTGGAGATAAATGTTTCGTGCAAAAATCTAGATGATCTCAAGACACCTAAAAGTCAAAGGGGAGATACAAAAAGATGGCAAGTTCTTTGGGGCAGATATTGCTTCCTGGCTCCCTTAAGAAACCCCCTTGAATCCCAGATGCACTGAGCGCACAGGTACAACAACTAAACAACACACCAAGTGCAACTGGGACGTCACCAAAGACATATATAATGATCATCCTCCAAGATGACCGGAATGTGGTACTGCTCCTGTGTGCAACTGGCAGCCAAGCTTACCTGTGTGTACAGGTAACGCAAAAGAAAGTCCAGCAGGAAAGACTTGCCCTTGCGGAACGCGCCCGCCACGGACACCACCACCACGTCAAGCTCACGGATGGCATCCTGCAGGAGGACTTGACTCAAGGCCTTCTCGTCCAACTCGAAGGAATGTTCTTCTTTGTGGACCAGCACGATCTGTACAGGACCCGGCTTGATTCCCACCATGGCATTGCCTCCTGTTCCAGTCCAGAAAGGAAAAGAGATGGACAACGTTCGTCAACAGCATTTAAGGTTGGCACGTGCTTTTATTTATTTTATTCCCTGGGACCCTGGAGGTCTTCTAGTCCAACCCCGTTCAAGCAGGAGACCCTGTATAGCATTCTGTCCAGACTCTTCTTAAAAATCTCCAGTGATGGAACAAACCCATTTATTCCAGAATTTGGAGAATATAAAGAGCTTTTTCAAGGGGAGAAGTGAAGCTACATTGCTCTCCTTTTTATAACCGAGGCAAAATACAATTCAGAAAAATTGGGACTAAAACAAGACACAAAAATGCTTTGTCCTCGGAAATCCTTCCACTGTGATATTATTTCCACATCTAAACATTTTCCATTCCCAAACACGAATCCTTGCTTGCCAAACAAAGGAAGGACATGTCAACCTCATAATTTTTTTCCCACCATACCACAACTTATATAACACACACGTGGTTGTTTGCTGAAATTACATCTGGGGCTTACTTTTGTGTCTCTACGCAACTTCTTAACATGTAAAGAATGTTGATATTTAGACTACGGGAGCCCGGCCAGTCTCAAAACATTGACAGGCATCTTTGATAAAAACTATTTTGCAATGAACCACTGAGAGCGCATAACAGAACACATTAAGCGTACTTTATTGATTTTCTTTTCATAATGCATTATTTCAGCTCAATCTTCTGCATTCCTGAAAAATCAATTAAGAGATATTTATATAACAAGGCCACGGAGTTAAAAAGCTCTATCTATCTATCTATCTATCTATCTATCTATCTATCTATCTATCTATCTATCTATCTATCTATCTATCTATCTATCTATCTATCTATCTATGTCTATCTATCTCTGTCTATGTCTATCTCTACCTACCTGTCTGTCTGTTTGTCTATCTATCTACCTACCTATCTCTATCTCTATCTCTATCTCTAGTTCTATCTATCTATCTATCTATCTATCTATCTATCTATCTATCTATCTATCTATCTATCTATCTATCTATCTATCTATCCATCCATCCATCTATGCCTGCCTGCCTGCCTATCTTATCTTATCTTATCATCTTATCTTATCATCTTATCTTATCATCTTATCTTATCATCTTATCTTATCATCTTATCTATCTATCTATCTATCTATCTATCTATCTATCTATCTATCTATCTATCTATCTATCTATCTTCATCTATCTCCATTTCTATCTACTTATCTGTCTACCTGCCTAGTATGGTAAATGCCTATGTACTTATTACAGTAAGATCTGCAAAACAGTCTACCTATACAGGCTATGGGTTTTCCATTTCTGGAGTTTTTTTAAGAATGGGGTAGATAATCACCTCTCATGGATATTGGAATTGATTTTCACCCATCACGCCAGAAAGTTGGACTAGACTGGTGTTTCTTTAAAGCTGGCAACTTTAAGCTGGGTGGACTTCAATTCCCAGAATTCCCCAGCCTGCATGCTTCAATATGGGTGAATTTCAACTCTCAGAACGCCCCAGGTAGCATGCTTTAAGATGAGTGAATTTCAATCCCCAGAATTCTCCGGTCAGCTGAGGAATTCTGGGATTTGAAGTTCACCCATCTGAAAGCGTCCAAGTTTGAAAACCACTGCACTAACGGAGCCTCTTCCCGTTCTATAGTTCAATGACACACTTTGTTGCTTGAAGCGGAGACACAAACACTCCGTGGCGATAAACAGAATGCTTTTTCTCTGGGATGCAGCAGCAAAGCAACAGGAGGACGAGAGCGTTGCAAAAAAATAAAAATAAAAGCAGCATTTTTTCCTTAGTCTTGCTCTTCTTAGCCCACCGATCACATCCCACAAAGCTTTAAAGCCATCTTTCGCACACAAAACCAAGCGCCGTTCTTGCTCTGTGGATCCACCGGGCCAAGAAAAAGACACAGGAAGTCGCCGACTTACAAACACACAATGGAGCATTTCTGTTGCCAAGCAAGACAGTTAAGTGAATTTTGCCCCATTTTATCACCTTTTTTTGCCACAGGTCTTAAGGGAATCAGTTAGCAACACGGTTGTGAAGTGAAACTGGCTTCCCCGTTGACTTTGCTTGTCAGAAGGCCGCAAAAGAGTGATCACGTGACCCAGGGGGACACCGCGACCGTCATAAATGTGAGTCAGTTGCCAAGTGTCTGAATTTTGATCACCTGGCCATTGGGGATGCTGCAAGGGCCGTAAGAGTGAAAAATGGTCATGAGTCCCTTTTTGTAACATTAAACCAGGGGTAGGCCACCTTGGCTCTTTTATGACTGGTGGACTTCAACTCCCAGAATTCCTGAGCCAGCATGGGGGAAACTATGGCCCCTTCATGACTTGTGGACTTCAACTCCCAGAATTCCTGAGCCAGCATGGGGAAACTATGGCCCCTCCCAGAATTCCTGAGCCAGCCATGCTGAGGGGAAAGGGAGAGGTTTCCAAGCTGAGCCATGCTGGCTCAGGAATTCTGGGAGTTGAAGTTCACCAGTCATAAAAGAGCCAAGGTTGCCTACCCCTGCATTAAACGGTCACTAAAGAACTGTTGTAAGTAGAGGACTACCTGTACATAGGAACCCCTCATCAGGGACCCAAGGGGTCTTTTTTTTCTCTAAAGAAAAGCCCAGAATCTGTATTTGGATTTCGGATTCAGTCCTATTAAAAACCACAGACAAAACTCCATATTTTATCCCCAGAGACCACTCCCATCTTATACAGTTGGGCTGGATGGCCCGAGCAAGCTTAAGCGTGTGAGATTGTACACGTTGCTTGTAAAAGTGGGTGCAAGGACTCTTGGCCAAGGTCTTCCTAGCCCCCTTTTGCTGCCACTTCTGGGCTCTCGTGGGGATCCACGCCGAGAGGAGGGCTGGAAGCCAAGGAGAGCATCCATTTGAAGGCTGATCCCATCCTAGATGCTGAAAAGTGTTCCAAGCGATCTGTTTCCATGGCAACGGAGACGGGTTCCGGAAAAGCACAATCGCTGAGATGTTTTGCATCCTTCCAGCCGTCTTTATTTCACCGAGTTCCTCCTCCATGCATGAATTTGCACAGGAGCAAATTCAACTGGCGGTTTTTCCCTAGCATCAGGGCGCGAAGAAAGAGTAGACCGTACGTATCGGGTGCAGTTCCAATTGTAAAGATAATAAAAGCATTAGATGGATGGATGGATAGATATAGCTAAATTGATGTAGATAGAACTAGATAGATAGATAGATAGATAGATAGATAGATAGATAGATAGATAGATAGATAGATAGATAGATAGATAGATAGATAGATAGATAGATAGATAGATAGATAGATAAACAGAGATATAGATAAATATAGATACAACTAGAGATAGATAAGATAGAGATACAGATAGAACTATATATAGATATAGATAGAACTAGAGATAGATATATAGATCTAGATAGAACTAGATAGATATATAGATAGAACTAGATAGATATATAGATAAGATATAGATCTAGATAGATAGCACTAGAGATAGATCTATATAGATCTAGATAGATAGATAGATAGATAGATAGATAGATAGATAGATAGAGATAGATAGATAGATAGATAGATAGATAGATAGATAGATAGATAGATAGATCTTTTTTGGCCACGTGATTGGACACACAAGGCATTTGTCTCCAGCGCATAAGCTCACAGTGTACATATAAACAGCAAGTCCTAGGCCATAAATCGTAGTTACAATCATTAATCATAATTTCAAACAACAGTCAATAAACCATAAGAAGCCAATAGAAGATAAGTAGAAAAGATGAGAGAATGAGAAATGAGTGCAGTGGGAATTAAGTGTTCAGAAAAATGAGGGCACAAGGGAAAAAACTGTGTCTAGTTATTTTGGGATGCAATGCTCTATAGCGCCCTCCTGAGGGGAGAAGATGAAATAGATTATGTCCAGGATGTGAGGGCTCTGTAGATATTTTCTCAGCCCTCTTTCTGGCTCCTGCAGGAGACAGATCCTCAGTGGAAGGCAGGCTGGTTGCGAAAGTAAGATCCTATCTGTAGAAGCAGAAGTGTAATCCAGTGGGTAATAGTGCACAACAGCACTGTTTCTCTTTTTACGTTTTATCTTCAAAATAGAACCTGTTGCCTTCATGACCAGCCAGGGTTAAAAAAAACCCCAAAATGTCTCTAGAAACCACTTTGCGTAACATCAATATTTCATCCTAATAAGCTCAAGCCAGCTTCTCAGATGACAAGCAGAAACAACCAGGTTTTGCAGAATGGAAGCCCAGGTTTAGCGAAAATTCTTGCGCCTCCAGAGCTGGGAAGATGAAATGTGGCAATTTTCGCTCTTTATGGGGTGCCTGATTTCAAGGAAGCTCTTCCCTGTGCTACTTCTGAGTGTTGATTGCAACGACACTTGTTCTAACTAGACGTTGGTGATAAAATCTCTTCCTGAGGTTGCACAATCTCCATCAAAGGAACAACACAACCAGCAACAGAAAGTTCCAACGTTCAAAATGTAGGTCATACCTAGAAATATTTCCATCCATCCATCCAAGGATCAACTAAACTAGTCACTAACTTCATTGGTTGACTCAACCTTCTAGCATTTTAAGGAGAACGTTCCTATTTCTGGCCATGTTCTCTCCATTTATGAACCAAGGTCCCTCAAGATACGAATGAGTAAGCTCAAATGATCCTATTCTGGCCAGATTATGCAAAGATTCAGTTCAGAAGTGCCTAATTCAGGGAAACGTGGAAGGAAAGAGAAGAAGATGACTAGACTTAAGTGGATGGACTTGATGGCAGCAATGATGATGTGGTGCGCCATGAAGACATCTGAAGAGACAGTTCCACCTGGAGAAAACGGATCTCTGGAGTCACTCTTGGGTTAATGGCCCATATTCCATCAAAAACAAGCTCCTTGCACTATTTTTTCCCTCTTGTGAAGTCAACAATATACCAGCTGCAGAACACACCACCTTAATTCTCATCTACTTACCTTCCTAGCCACA